CCGCAGAACATGTGTAACCACACCAGCCCAGGACCTCCACATCCAGCATCTTCACCTCCAAGATTGTCTGAGACCAGCCACCCGGACAGCTGTTGCAACAATTGGTTTGCATAACCAAAGCATTTCTGCACAAACTGTCAGAAAGTGTCTCAGGGAAGCTCATCTACATGATTGTCGTCCTTATCGGGGTCTCGAACTGACTGCAGTTCGTCATCGTAACCGATTTGAGTGGGCAAATGCTCACATTTGATAGTGTTTGGCACTTTGGAGAGGTGTTCTCTTCACGGATGAATCCCGGTTTTCACTGTACAGGGCAGATGAGAGACAGCGTGTATGGCGTCGTGTGGGTGAGCAGTTTGCTGATGTCAACGTTGTGGATCGCGTGGCCCATGGTAGCGGTGGAGTTATGGTATGGGCAGGTGTATGTTATGGACAACGAACACGGGTGCATTTTATTGATGGCATTTTGAATGCACACAGATCCCGTGATGAGATTTTGAGACCCATTGTTGTGCCATTCATACACAACCATCACCTCATGTTGCAGCATGATAATGCATGGTCCCATGTTGCAAGGATCTGTACACAATTCCTGGAAGCTGAAAACATCCCAGTTCTTGCATGGCCAGCATACTCACCGGACATGTCACCCATTGAGCATGTTTGGCGTATATGACAGTGTGTTCCAGGTCCTGCCAATATCCAGCAACTTCGCACAGCCATGAAAGGGGAGTGACCAATATTCCACAGGCCACAATCAACAACCTGATCAACACTATGCGGAGGAGATGAGTTGCACTGCGTAAGGCAAATGGTGGTCAAAGTTTCTGGATGTTCGAGCTCTATCTGGACTTGGATGTCGCTTTAAGAAAGAGGAAGTGTACAGGCAGCATGACCCTTATATATTGACTGGTTTTTGGACCCCCGGACCCCTCCAATACAGTATACACTCTTCAGATGGCCACCAGAGGTGCTTCCTGGCTCAGTGCTGCACAGTAGGCAGCAGTGCCGTTCAGCATCTCCATGCTCTGCATGGGGACGCTAAAAAATTTTTAGTCGCCCCCCCCTTAAAATAGGCAGGTGACTTTAACCCCAATAAAAAACCACGACATGGAATTAAATAAAATTATAAAGAGGGAGGGCGGGGAACAGCTCTAATCCAAATCTTCCACTGCTATTTTGGCATACAGTTTTTCTTCAGCTGTTTTGACGCCAGCTGTTACCCAAGGGTGCCTTATATATTGCAGTTTTTGGCGAAAAGTCACACCACCGATTGACGGCATTAATATTTCCATGGCTCTGTTCATCTTGCGCCAAACTCTTTTTAAAGCTTTAAGATTTGCATTGCGCAACCACACCAGGCACATTACAATCTCAGACCAAATGATTAATGAGTCTGGGAATATCCTATTAACATTCCACATATCTTCGTTCAATTGGTGAAACAGCACCACTGACTTGACTCTACCTATATCATTACCTCCGTAATGAAAAATAATGAAATGTGGCCATAGAAATTGATTTTGACATTCCTGTAAAACATTAAAAACATCATCCCTTACTAAAGCTCTTACCCCAACCCAAAATATTGAAACAGTCTCATTAGTAAAACTCAAATTATCTCTGTACGATCTTTCCACGGCTCTTCTATGTGCCCAGTGGATGAATGAATGACCAACCATCCACACAATAATTGGTCCTTTATCTGAAAAGAGAAAAAGTAAGTAAGCATATTAACAAAACATTAAGGCCTAATATAACTTCTGTATCTATTTGATGACCATTGCCCAACTTTTTTAGCCAACTCATTCGACAAACCTCAGGATATTGCCTCCACTGCAGCACCAATACGGAATGAATGAGATGTTATCCTTTTTCCTTGAATACCTAACTATTTGCATGATTACTGGGGAACTTTTTGAAATTGAAACTTAGAAAGAAGAATTCCTGAGAAAGGAAACTTAGAAAGAAGAATTTCCTATGTATTAAAAGACTACTCTGGGGCGAATATTTAAAAAAGGTTTCCACTACTTTAACTGGGGCGAATATTTAAAAAAGGTTTCCACTACTTTAACTGGGCATAAATTCTCATGATGAGTAGCTTCCAACTGAACCCATCGGCCTTTCCCTTGTTGATCAGTTTTTGGATCTTCTTAATAAAATTTTCAAAGTTTCACCATCAAGGTGTAAATCATCAAATTGTATGCGGGAATGGCAAGACTTGTTAGCCAACATTAATTCGCTAATTCTAAAGGCTCCAATTAAGGCTAAAACAAAAGCCATGGTGAATAATTGAACCACAAAAGAATCATTACAAATAGAGCCAATAGTTGAAATGAAACAGGGGACCTGTTATCTTGAACAGGCGATTTCTTAACCCAAGCCCCTTTCAACATTTGTTTCACAGCACAGCCCGAACCCTGCAGACAGCGAGGCGTGACCGCCCCTTGCCTCGATTAAGCAGTGCTGATCCACCTGTAGCCCTTTTCCAATTAGGGTCAGCTGCATCTAGTTAGCAGGCTGTAAAAGCCAGCCCTGCCTGAAACCTAGCATCTGGTCATTTTGCCTGTTTGGTTTTAACGGCCGGATCTTTGATACTCTCCTGACTGATTTCCTGGACTCTGACCTCTGCCTGCTTTACCGACTACGTTACTCCGCTGCCAGCCATGACTTCTGCTTCTCGTCTGATCCTGCCTTTGGATTTCCCCTTAATCTGTACTGCGCTTTTGGTTTTTGCCTCCTCCCTGTGCCATCTCCTGCTAAACTGTTACAATTTGCTGTATAACAAATTCTTTAAAGATAGATTTATTTATTTTTTATCCAAAACTTTAAAGAAAATTGAAATGTCTAGTAACGATCTATTTAGTGAAAACGTAGAAGCTCCCGACTGAATTTTATTAATGATAAATTGTATAGCATCCTGTATGTTAGGATCAGTAGTGTCTTTATTGAGATTAACCATAAACCGATTCCACTCATCCCATGCAAATAAATATGCTTTCCAAGTGATTGATAATAACGGTAAACCCAGCAATCGACTTATCTGGGTGTAGTTAGATCCCAGATGTGCTTGGGCAACTTCATTCCACATTCTTCCGCTAGAGGTGCGAGGGACCTGAAAGAGTCGAAATGGGACAAGGAATCAGTTATTCAATTACTTTTGCCACTTATGTAACTTGCTATTACCCCTATATATTTTAACCAAGCAGATTCAAATGAATCTTCTCAATAAATTAATGTCAGAGATCGATTTAGCTCAAAGAGAATTAATTACCTGAACTCCCAAGTTGTCGCAATGAAAAGTAATTCTCTTATTTGACAACGCAGAGCCCTATACTTCCAAGGCTACTACTATTGGAAAGAGTTCCAAAAGTGTAATCATTTTAGTCCATCCATCCATTTTTTTAAACAAATTTATGTCTGAGGCCATCCAGCGGCTGCCCATTCCATTTCGTTTGGAAATATATACCAAAGCCTTGTGAACCAGCTGTATCAGTGAAAATATCTAAATCCCAATTGGATACAAAATTACATTGACAAATCGTGGATTCATTAAAATGACTTAAAACCGTATTCCAGACTTGTAAATGTTCTTTGATCACCCTAGATATATGCACATGCTGGTGTGGATTTTTTAAACCAGCTAACGCTCCAGACATATGTCTGGAAAAAACCCTGGCTATTGGAATTATAAAGAACCTAACCCAGACTGTAACTTCTTAAGTATTGTGTTGTTAACGCCTAATAATCGTTTGAGCAGAGTTCTCTTCAACCTATCGTTCCTGTAAGTTTTCATGTAATTGTCCTATTTATAATTAAATCCCCCCTCTCATAATTTAGTAAAGTGCTACGGAATCTGTTGGTGCTATATAAATGACAATAATAATAAATGTGAAGGCTTGGCCTGCAGTTGTGGGAGGGGCATGGTAATCTACTTAAACCCCCTCCTCACCTTCCTCAGTCCCGTTTTCGTTTGACGATTCGCATGTCGGGTCATTTCCTCTCCTATTCCTCGTGGCTTCGCTGTTCCCTTGCTGCTCGTGGGTCCGCAGTCCTCCTGGGTTCTGCCTCTGGTGCTGCCAGCCTCGAGTCCCCGGTTTTTGCGGCTGGTTTTCCTTTGGTCGGGGGGGGGGGTCGGTCTGCTGCGGCGCCTTTCTTTCGTATTAATTGTCGGTCGGCGACGCGGTCGCGGGTCTGCTCTCGCCGGCGTTCGTGCGTCCATGCGGCCGCATGTAACTCCTCTGCTTATACTATTACAGTTGTGAAGAGCCTGGAATACTATCAATATGTTATACAGTGTGTGCTTTAAGTGTTCAATTAAAATGCACTGCCTGGCAAATATTGAGAAGGCTTAGGCATGGACACACATTGTGCTCCTATAGACGATGATACTGAATGGAGCTTTTTTTTTTTTTTGCTGGTTTAGCCTCTAACTCCTTTAACCCATTCCGCCCAGCACAGGCTCTGAAATCCAGCAGCTAATAGGTCAATGCTTTTAATCAAGGCAAAAGCCAACTGTATGCTTGTTGACTCAGTGACAGTTGATTCCTGACATATCTGTGTGCCTGATAGCAGTTTCTATGAGGCTATCCTAGGGATGCACTCTCTGTCTAAAGCTAACAAGGAATATCTGTATTAGCTTTCATTAGCGAACCTCTTAATTTTTTAAGGGTCTCATGTCGCTTTCTTGGATCTTCAAGGCACAGGCGGTGCATTAACTTTCTATTAAATGCAAATCATTTCTGATCATTCTATAGATTTCGTCTATGTGATATTGGGAAAATATAGGATATGATAAACTAAATGTGCAATAATAAGTGAATTAATATTAGGAATACATTGCACACAAAAAAACAAAAAAAAAACCCTGGCACACTCACACGAGGTCTGGCGAACCCCCGTGGGCTTTACACCAACTCATACTCTATGCCTGTTGCGGGGCATGCTCCTTTCGGCCTGATCTCCTGGACTCCGTGACGTGCTTCCTCTGCTTTTCGGTTATGGGCGGCCTGCGGTACTTCCTCATTCACCCTCATGTTCCTCCAATCCATCCTCTCTCACGCTACTTTCCCTCCCCTCTTAGCTGTTGCTGGCTGTCAGGGTCATAGGTGTCCACTAGTTGTAATTCCCACAGGCTTCTTCGCCTTAGGCTAGTGGTCCCGCGAGGCCAACACCCATCCTCATACTTGGAGGTACTACGCCCCTCGGGCCAAATCATAGTTAGTCGCCTCGCACTGTGGCATAGAGAGGGCCTCACCTGTCACTCCCATTCTATCTTATGCTTAACTGTCACCGAGAGGCCAACACCCCGCCACAACGTTCAGTGGCCTCGTTCTCCCCTCGCGCCAACTCATAGATAGTGCCTCTCACGCCGCTTGGCATCTAGCAGGGCCTCACCTGTCACCAAACCTAGTTTTTAATTGTTTCGCCTTTTGGCATTAGCTAGTATGCCAGCTCGCACACTTACACTCTTTTACGCTCGTGCGCATGTTGGGTCACTTATGCGGGGTCTTCTTTGTCTTTTTCTAGCAGGTCTGGTTTCTCATCACCCTGTGGAGTTTTGGATATGCCTACCTTTTTTTTTTTTTTCAGGTCTTGGGCGCTTCCTCGATTCACTGCGGCTCTCGCGAGTCAGCTTTCCCCCCATGGCAGCCTTCCAGTCAGATGTTCCCTCAGTGTCTGTCCACCCTCACGGGTCTCGCCGCTATGGGGCGGTGTCGGGTGGCAGTCTTGGTAACTGGCATCTGCCGCTTTGGTTGGTCCCGAACCGGTCTTCCAGCACCTCTTTCGTATGTTCAGTCCTGTGCCTCCTTTACGCTTTCTCATGTGGCCCTGCCTATGGCCTCTCCCGCAGCCGCTTCCATGCCCGGCTTTTCTGGGCTTGTTCATGGGCTGCCAGCTTTGTAAGCTCGTGGTTGCCTTCTCTCATTTTTCTAGCACTCACAGTGTCTGTGTTTTCGGACCTTCTTCCCCTTTGAGGCTCCTGTCTCACTTTTCACGTGTACTGTCTCTGTTGATATGTTGTCCGTGATTGATTTGTGCTTCTTTTTGCCATATCTTACTTGCATCAACTCTACCATACGGTCTATAACTTCACATGTCGTACAGGTTTCTAATCACACGCTTTTCATGTCGTCATACCAGTTTATTACCATACTCAAGGGTTCAGGTTCTGGGAATTTTCAATCTCCAGATTTCCCATCTTCATCCAAGTTTTATAATCACTATCAGACCTTTTTAACACTTGTCATCACGACCGGACATCATCTTTCAATGTAGGGCGATATCTGCTTGATCCAAGGATAAATCCGACTGCCATTCTGGGGTCAAGAAGGAATTTTTTTCTCTAGCTTGTTGCAAATTGGAAAGCGCATCAAACGGGGTTTTTCGCCTTCTTTTGGATCAACCGTTTAATCACAGATGTGAGGTAGGCCAGATTTGGGGGACGCTAGTATTTTCATCAAGGTTACTAGGTAGTCTAGTTGTCTAGCCGCTATACAGCTTCTTGTGGACACACATCTCCCACAGTCACCACGTCTTTTGCAGCATTGTCTCAGGAAATCTCACCTATTTATGCAGTCTATTGTTTACCTTCTCTACCCCACACCCAGTTTACGCTAGATGGCCAACATGTTTTCCTTACTTCCCCTTGCACAAGTTAGAGGGCAATTGAAAGCGCCGGGTACCTCATTACACACTCAGCTGTTACCATACAGATAGGCTATTTAGGTTGTTGATTGCTTTTAAACAGGTTTCCTTTTTGCCCTCTTTTACTACAGGCCTACCACGACGTCGGTTCCGGCACACCACAACCGACTTATACCCCTCCCCTTTCTTTTATTTCCATCACGGCCTTGTTTGCCCCTCACACAAATGTGAAGGCTTGGCCTGCAGTTGTGGGAGGGGCATGGTAATCTACTTAAACCCCCTCCTCACCTTCCTCAGTCCCGTTTTCGTTTGACGATTCGCATGTCCCCACCCTCCACTCCCTTTATTTATACTTTTCATTACACCTCATGGGTGGGCCCTCTTTTACTACAGGCCTACCACGACGTCGGTTCCGGCACAACACAACCGACTTATACCCCTCCCCTTTCTTTTATTTCCATTACGGCCTTATTTGCCCCTCACACAACTGAGAATTTCTCGCTTCATTTTAACTATTTTCTCTTTAGGTAAACAAAATTCTATTCTTTCAGAGTCAATAATTATACCCAAAATTGCAGACAAGTACTAGGCTAGACGTTTTTTCCCTTGCCAAAGGAATGCCAAATTGTTGAGCAACAGACATGAAATTTGTCAATAACTAAAGGCAGTCAGAGGATCCAGCTTTCCTGATGAAAAGAAAAGTCGAATGTAAACCTGAAACCTTTTAAGCACCTATTCTAGAAAACATGTAAAACTTTCAAAATAAAAGGCAGTACAACCCATGGGCATATACTTATTAAAGTATAATTTACCTTCAAATTGGAAACCCAATGACCCAAAACAATCCGGATGTATTGAGAGTAATCTCAATGCTGACTCAATGTTAACTTTTGCCATGAGAGCATTCTTCCAACGATGCCTCACTATTTTAATGCATCCTCGGAGGAAAAGTATGACACTGAAATATGGAAGTATCAACCTCATCATTCAAACAATCACATTTGGGTAAGATAGGTGGTGAATTAGACAGTCAAAATTTGTAAATCAGTACTAAAGATACCCAGACCAACATTCGAAAGATGAACACATCACTATAAAACAACTATAACTTTACTCACTTTTAATACAACATAACTTGTAACCAAACATCTCTGATCTTTAAACCCCCAGAGATTTTAACACATGACTTACCATAGTTCTGTCCTCTACATAGCTAGAATTTAAACATATCAATAGCCTATAACCAAACATCTCCGGTCTGTAAACCCCCAGAGAACACTAAACACTAGCAAAATTAAAAAAGGCCTGTAGCCACTTATTAAAAGACTGAGTCACTATGCGTTTCCTGTCATCCTCTTTTTCTTGCTTTAAAAAGAAATCCTTAGACGCTGGTAACAAAGAAAGAATATCTCAATATTCTTTATTCCATATCTTTTCTTTGATTAAACTTGCTAAATGAAAACCAAGTGGAGAAACCTGAAGTAACACTCCCAGTGCCTCTCCTAGCTTAGCCTGCTGAGAAACCCCAGGAAAGGACTTAGCAGCCAAATTATCTGCTCCTTATGACGGCACGGCAAAATAGGTACCTGCTTGCTCACGGTCTTCAATAACCGGCACTTGCCCAGTTGCAGAAGTCTCAGGATTTTGTCTTCCTTTTCCCTGCAATTCTCTTCTTTTTGCTTCCTCTGATAGGTGAAGGGGAATAACTCACTCTTGATTTAGAAGCTCACTTCTTTCCTTCTTGAAGCGAACTTCTATCACTCAAGCTTATGGACATTTTTGGCTGCTCCTCAGAGTCTTCCCCCTTTTGTAGCCTCCTCCTCCTCAGGTTCCAAAAAGTCCATTAATGTTAATTCCTGTGGGTGTGAATCAATTTGGGAGGAAGGAGCAGTCAAAAGGCACTGCATTAAACCATTCAGTACCACCACTGCTGGACGCCCTCCTTTTCATTTCCTCAAGTAAGTGCACTATAGCTGCACTTTTGTAAATAGAACCAAATCTAAAACAAACAGCTGACAGGAAAAGGGAGGGAACAGGGGACAGCTCTAATCCAAATCTTCCACAGCTATTTTGGCATACAGTTTTTCAACTATTTTGGTGCTAGCTGTTACCTAAGTGCACCTTATATATTGCAGTTTTCCCGCTTTACAGTGCCCTCGCGAACAATCGCTCCAATCAGAGCGCTGTCTGCACAGACCTCTGCACTATATGTCCACAAGGGCATCGCACAAACCATTGCCGATGCCCTCGCAACCTGCCAGCAGTTCGCGTGCATTAACCCTCCCACTGTTAACCCTGTAGCGCACATGTGTACACAGTCAATTGACCGTGTATTGTCTATTTTAACATGCATGTCCTTTATTTTACAAACTTGTCTGAGCAGGGCACTCACTGCCCCTTGCTCAGGTAGATAATACATGTCTTGTTGAGTGCTCTTGCAGTTTCAGATTTCTCATTCATTGTACAACTTTGTGCAATACACTGGATATACAGAAACGTGGGTGAACTAAATTGCAACAGTGCGCATAATAATCCATAATTAGCTCTGGATCGATATTATGCAGCCACCAGTAAAGCCAGAATAGTTTTGAAAACTGAAACTTGTATCTTGTTGCACTTTGTAGAATTCTAGGAACTATTGTGTTCAAAGATGTGTCATAAAATAAAGTTAATTTTTAAATCTTTACACTGCAGAAAGTGGGGATGGGGGTACCAAACAACATAAGAGACACGTGCCTCACTATTCACTACTTACTATGCTAATACTAGGAAAGAGGAACTGTATTTCTCGTGCTCCGTTTCCGCCCGGACTCGTTTCATAGTTGCAGTGAGGTGAGTGAGATTGACCTGTGAGTGGCATTTAGAGGCAGCGGTGTCTATAACGGGTTAATATTTGGTTATATTCGTTCAGAGTGTCTGTCATCTTAAATAAATTATCATAAAATCATGTTATAAGGGATAATTCTTTCACAGAATGTTTGTCGTTCTCACACAGAATCCGAACATGGAATCTTTCATTTCAGCTTGGTTACGTTGATCGTGTTTGTAATGTAATAATAATTCTTTATGAGCAGGCTGCAATGCGACATCTCGGTTATGCTCTGCCAGGCTTACCAACATTCCAGCACGAGATTTATTTCATACACTGGCAGCATGCTATGTGTGTGTCCTGAGAGGGGTCAAGTGTGAAGTTACCTTTGCTTCGTTTTACAACACTGACAGGTTTTGCGTCACTAAACTGAATAGTGTGATATGTAAAGGGAAATTGCACATTTTAGCTGAGCTATGCAAAAACGGTGAGAGAATGTTCCCAGTTTGGCTATTTAGGCATAAAATTAACAATTTATTTGTCAACTCTTACAATTCCCAACTGACGGTCACGTGAACCCAGTTATTGGCCAGACAATAATTAAATTATTACTATTTATTTATACATATTATTTTTTTGTTTTTGTCTGCAGGCCCATCCCCGATCTCCATTATTCCATTTTTATTTTTCACTTACATAGTTAAGAGAACTGTCCTCATTCCAGCTAGGGCAAGCACAGCTTCCTTAATATTTTTGCAAATGTATTTGAAGTTATGTTGCCCATTTATAAGTGCCACTGCATTACCACTTGGTAATTATTTAAACTTCCCTGATAGCTGGAGGAATTGTGTGCACTCCGCCGCATACACTCCTCTCTCCCCTCTATCCGCTCAACACCCAAAACATTGTATCATCTCTAGGAGCACATTGGCCCAACAGGAGCAACATGGGAAAGGTGACCGTACAGGGGAAATGCATTCCATCCCCGGCCACAAATGAATGGGAATGGTAAGAGTAGAGATGAACGTGGATAAGCATTGTCATAAAGACATAGAACTGAAATGTTATGGGTCCTAACATTGTCTGTGAGCATTACAAACAAGTGTATGGGAGTACAAAACCCATTATTGCTGTATATTCACTATATGTTTGTCACGGAGTTCACTTACAGGCTTTTTGTCTTATTGTAAGAATTGTCAGGAACTAAAAATTTAAAGGGACAATATAGTCACCAGATCAACCACAGATTAATGTAGTTGTTATGGGGTCTATAGCTTTTCCATGCAGACTTTTTAATGTAAACACTGCCTTTTTTAATGCCTAGTTACACCTCTAGTGGCAATCGCTGAGACCGCCAATATATAGTGCTTTCTGGTGGTGATCAGTGTCTACGCTCTGCATGGAGATGCTGAATGCTTCCCACAGAGATGCATTGATTTAATGCATCTCTATGAGAAGATGCTGATTGGCACAGCTCAGCGTTTTGCCATGAATGCGCAATGCCCTTCCATTGCTTTCCTGTGGGAAAGTATTGCATTGGCTGAGCTTATCAAATTTGATGATCTCCGCCACAGGGCGAGACCAGAGCGAAGCTGGAAAAAAGGTGAGTTTAAACATCTTTTTAAAGCAAAGAGGGGGGGGGGCTTGGTACCTAAACTTTCATTTTACCACTGTAGGGTCAGGAATACGTTTGTGTTTCTGACACTATAATGTTTCATTAAAGCCAAAATATCAGAACTGAAAGCATAGGTAACTCGGACAATATTTCCTATTCAGCTGTTTTGGCAATAAAACTGAAATTTACTTTGAATTCCCAAATTTTCTCACTATAATAAATGATGATCTATTTTGCAATATTGTAAGTGAATTTCTCTCACAATGTGAAGATTTTAATATGGAATAATTTTCTACCGTTTGCTGTCAGCTACTCTATCACAGTTATTTACTAAGCTGAGAATTTAAGTGAATTTCAAAATTAAGGCCATAGTTGCCGAACTGAAAGCATAACTGGTGTATAGAATTTCTCCAGTTTGGCTATTTTGGCCTAACATTTGAAATTCACTTTGAATTCTCACTTTAGTGAATAACGCTGTCTGTCTCGGATGGCGTTCTGACTCTTCGCTACTCTGCTGTCGGAGTGACTTTCTGTCTCTCAGCAAATAGCCATAGGGTAAGAGCCAGGCTTGCCTGCTTTTATCAACAGTGCTACCTGAGTACCAGGGAACCTTTTTACAGTCAATATGTTTTCTGGATGGATTTCTTATTATCTGCTCTGCTGTCTGCAGTAAGTTTAGTCGGTCAATACAGCTAAGCTGGAGTTTGCAGTCCCTGTAGAATTACATTCTACCTTGCCAAGCAAGGCTGCAATATGCATCCTTTATTCCATTTTCAATAATCTAATTGTATTTGGTTTTATTTCTTATATCCTTATCTTATATCCTTATCTTATCTCTTCAGCATCCCATTTTATTCTCAAATTATAAGTTGTGTGTGTGCATTCAACCTTGTATTTACTGTTCATTTCTGGTTGAAAGATTGTAGCCATAGAGCATCATTGCTGCCGATAAGGGGGTACAACTGGTATTCCATTAAGAGGCTGGCATTGCTATGGAGTCTGATTGGCATCCTGTAACTCTATGTGGTCAGGTTGGGGAAAAATATCTCAGATTTAAAGATTCGCAGGAAAGCAGATCAAACCATTGCATTGAATGCTAAAAATATATGTGTAGCTCCTACCTCTGCTGGAACTGGACATTCATGGAATCAGAAAGGAGGCTCCTACTCCACAGTAGCAATACAAATATATAAGTATATAATATCTCCCTTAATTTGACATTATTGCAGGAAGGCAGTGGATGGACCTCTCTACAGTTTGCTATGGCCAACATTCTCCTTCTTGAGCACAAAGATTAATTTTTAATCCAAAACATTGCCTGGTACCCACAGGGGCGAGTTTCTGTGCGTGCCTCCCAACAGTCCCAGGTTCAGTAGGACAGTCCTGGTTTTGGGTTCTACTCTCGCTATCTTGGGAACTGCCCCGAGCAAGTTCAAGCCAAGCACATCATAAGGTTTGCTCGTAGGGTATTCAGCCCATGCTCCGAGCTCTTTAGAAGAGCTGTGTGCATTTGCAACCCTTAGTAGAACTGGTCAGAGTATCTTCTAGTCAGTCTGGCTTGCCCCTCACTTTGATTATCACTGCTTCATTTGGCTGATACAAAATAGATTTAAGACAAATTGTGAGACACATTCGGCATATATTATTTTGTACTTATCATTTGTGAATGGCAGGGGCTGATAGGTTTGTAGTGTTGCTTATATGTGATGGGGCGTATATACATTTTTAATTAATAAAGTCTGTGGTGACATCAATGTGGAGTCTGCATAAACATACACCTCTATGTATGTGTCCATTACTTAAAGATGGGTAACCGCTATTATAGACTTTCTTGGAGCACATTTAATGTAACCACACATTTTTAATTATCACAATTTCCTTAATTATATTGTATTTTTATTATGTTTGATTTCTTAATTTGCAGAGATGGCAGCTTTAATTTGGAGGTGCTCATTTACCAGAGCAAAAGCTAGATGGCTCCACCAAAGGTGCTTATCCCTTTATAACAGCAGCCATGGTTTTGATGAGACAAAAATTAAGGAGAAACTTGCACAATTATCAGGGGGCTCTATAGACCTCCGTAAAGGTGAAAATGGTATTGCAGAACTCTGTATAAATAATCCAAGTCGAATGAATGCGTTCACAGGTATGCTTTTTTTTTTTTTTTTGTCAATATGAATATGTATGTCTAGTTTTCAAGTATTTTAAAATTATATACATAAAAACATTTCACCAAACAAAGCTGGTGAGAGAACACGGTGTGGGGATATATAATTAGTGACTCTGAGATTACCTTTTTTCATTTATAGATCTCTGAACAAATAAATCAGAATTCAGGGGTTGCAGAACCAAGCACCTAGCTGTAGTTTGTTAGTAAGTGCATACAATTGATCTGGTCCAGAGTGACATTTTGATATGGCCATATTCTGTAATAAGTAGGTCCGGTGTCATTTTGACCAAAATCCATATAATGAATTAAAAGTGAGAATTTTCATTTCTCTGCATTAAACAAAATATGCCATGATTAATATTGTTAAATATGTATATATATTTTTTTCAATAAACTATATAAGCTGAGCTTTAAAGGGATTCTATAGTGTAAGGAATACAAATTTATATTCCTTACACTATAGAGCCCTCCAGTACCCACTCCATCTCTCCTCTGGCTCATAGTTGTGTCTCCGCGCTGGGCCGGCACTCCACCTCCTCCGGCGTTATCTGAAGAAGGGCTAAAGTGTATGCGCTGCAAGTGCTGCGAACATATGAGGCCCTCCCCATAAGAAAGCATTGTTACAAGGGATTTTACTGACACAGAAGGTCCTCCTGCAGAGCGTGAGAGCACCCAGCGTCAGGTGACCAAAAGTTGGTTACCCACCAGGAAGTGCCGCTATTGGCTTCCTGACTGACAGCCACTAGAGGCAGTCTTAGTCCTGCAATGTAATTATTAGACATTCTCTAAAACTGTAATGATTTACATTGCAGGACTAAGTAGGACACCTGAAGTGGTCTAGGTTCCTGTAGTGATCCTTTAAATTCATCTGTTCGTGTTAGAAGCCATGGATCTGCTACCTCTGAAAAAATGACTGATTTTCTCAATCCAAATAAAGACTTGTTATGGTTCCTTGTTATGGTGAAGCCTATATGATGAAGTAAGTAACATGATATAAAACTTTATACATAACATGAACAAAACATTATGTAACATAATTACTTTAACTACCGTGTGGTTCACGGTCTCCTCAGGGTAGTTTTTTTATCCCAAACTTAATTTTTTGTTTTAATTACCGCTTGCTGATTGAAATCATCCGTGAGAGAACAGTTCCTCCTAAGACTTAGAAACTGGCTCTTTGGAATACTGTTGAGCCAGGAGCCATAGTAGCAACTTGATTGAATAATAACGGTATTGGTGTGGACCTTCTTAAAATAAAGGTAAAAAAAATGTATCTGTTTTTGACTATATTCGGAGGTTAGCATAATGCCTCTTTTAAGTTAAAAAGGTCTAAAAAAACACTTCAAAGAATTTTCAGAACCATTCCAAATAAAAAATAAATCATCGATATAAGGGAAACAAGAAACCAGGTTTGACTCAAGTGCGGAGGAAGGACAACACTGGTTTCATAACTTTTGTGAAAAACCAAAGAGTTGATGATAGAACGAATGGTAGACCTGTAAATCTCCATTCCTATCCTTGCCAAAGGAATTGTAGGAAGTCTCAGTGATCCTCTGCAACGGAAACCATCAGATATGCGTCCCAAATCCAATCTGCTTGGATTTGGGAGATTGGCAGATTTCTGAGACAACAATACCCTCCATTTTGAAATGTTGATACTGGACAAAGGCATTCAAAAGTATTTGATAACAGGATGGACCCTGATGCCCTTCTTTGGGAACAGGAAAAGGTTGCTTACAAGTTCCGGCATCTACCAAGGGACTTGTATGGCATTTTTTGACACTCATTCAAGAATTTCATTGGAAATACTGATGATTGGAGGACTTCATCAGGTCCCACTGAGGATATACATGTACAGGAATAGAGATTAGTTCCAAACGATACCCCTAAACAGTTTGTAAAAACACAGACATCAGAAGTTATCATCCCAAACATAAGAAAACCGGGCTAGTCTGTCTCCTATTCCTATATGGGAAGAACATGGAATTAGCATATTCACCATAAAATCATCTCCCGGGTACAGCTCTGCATGATCCACGTGAGACCCAAGTTCATTCATAAATTCGAGGCAGGTCTTTGTGCGTGGAAGGAGCCTCAGTTCGCTCGATATGAGCAACGGACACCACCGCTGGATAGACCGCGTATAGCTCTTCTGGTAGCTCCAGAAACCTTGGATGAAAACACCTGTCTCATGGAACTTTGTACCTACTCTAAAGCAGTGAAAATTTTGTAAGTACCCAGATCCTTCACAAAGAACTTAACAACAAGCCTTTAGTGGCCGCACCCAGCTCATTGACTGCCATGTTAATCAGCTTTAATTCTATCTTCAACAGTACTGTCTTACGGCATTCTGAAGACATGGCTGTGTTGGCAGTACCCAAAAAGCAGACCAACCGTTGGACCCATCCTTTTGCCACTTCAAAATCATATGGAATGTCACCAAACTGAGTGGATTCAAGAAGCACATATCATTTTGTTGCTGTTGCCAATGTTTAAAAGCTTATCCTGAAAATTTTCAATTAAAATTTAAAAAAGTCTGAAAAACCTTTTTTGGACTTCTAACCCGTTTCTAGCTAGCTGTAACCAGAGGACAAATCACCAGTCAAAGGGAAGGAAGGCCCAGAAGGTCCCTCACCCTGAGATAATTAGTACCAGACAAAGATAATACTACAGACAGGCAAAAAAAGCAAGCCTAGCAAAGGGTAGCAGTATAGTTGAAACCTGTAGTAAAAACAGGGCAGACAAGTCCTTGGCCAAAATCCAACCTAAAGTCAGAATAATTTTAGGAAAAATGAGTGTACAGGATTATGTAATCCAGAAACACTAGAATCACTCACTAAAATCACTGTTGAAAAAAGTGCAAGTGCCATCAGCCGCCGAATCAGCTGATTCGGGGAGGAAAGGGGAAGGTATACTGCAGTTTTTTTGTGTGTGTGTGTGTGTGTATATATATATTCATAACTATTTGCCCGTCTGTTCTTAATTTGCGGGGGTAGGAGTGGGGGGTGGCAAAACCAAATTTGTGGTGGTTCAGAGGGCTGCCTATCCACGGGTACAGGGGAGCGCCACACACACACACACACACACGAAGATAGTAGGCAGAACAGATACAAATGAGTGAACACTGTATCTGTACTTAACTGGTCTGAGGGAGCAGCAAAGAAAGAGAAGTTGGTTGAAGACTCACAGTTTATGGAACATACTCTGTTGTGATTGGTTACAGTGTTTCTATGCAGTTTTTGTTTATGCACTATAGTTACCAAAACAACTTTAGCTTAATGAAGCAGTTTTAATATATCGATCATGATCCTGCAGTCTCACTGCTCAATTCTCTGTGATTTAGGAATTAATTCCCTTTTGTTTGTCCATGCAGCCATAGCCACACCTGCCCTGGCTGTGACTCACACACCATGCATGAAAAAAATGGTTTCACTTTCATTCAGATATAACTTACTTTAAAAGTTCTTATTGCCTGCTCTCTAAAGTGAACTTTAATCATACACAGGAGGCTTCTGTGGGGTCTAGGTTATCATAGGAAGAACAGCATCAGCAGTAAATAAAGTAATCCACGAATATCCCATCACCTTTCCCAATAACTGGACGACACGCAGTATCAGGAGCAGAACTCAATTTTAATGCCACTCAGCTTTTATGCAATTCTCCCATGTAAGGGAGACACCCACAGAAAATCCGGCATTCCCTAGCTGGGTACAGCCCACACATCCAATCCCTAGCTGGGTACAGCCCACACATTTCCTCCCCTTAGCCTGGGAGATAACTAATTAACTGTACATTTGAAACATAAATTTTTAGCCAATTCCTGGATGTACCCCAAAACTATAACTTACACCCATAAATTACATATCCCCTGAAAGCCCTGATCTGGGTGAGCAACATACTCAAAAATCACCCAGATCGGTTCAGGGGTTCGTGACTTTCTTGGAGGTCGTTTTACCGACCGCACACGTGGTGTTAGCCGAAAATAGTTCCATGTGTTTTGGCCTTGCGGTCGGTCTCCGTTCGTGAGATAAAACTCCTGAAATCATTCAATATAATGGGCTCGGCCTGGGTTCGGATGATTCCCCTTGTTCACTGAATGCCATGCCATTCGTATTTTTTCCTACGAACGGGTTGAAGTATGGTGGTCTCTGCGGTGTTCGCGTGGTCGAGTGTCCGATTTGGGTTCCAGACACTCTGCGACCAAACACCGCTGGTGCGTTTGTATGGCAAGATGGCCACCGCCACGTGTTCGTATGCCAAACGGCGTCCACCCAGGGAATAGATAGTGTGTTTGGGTAATTGTCAATTGAGGTAAAGTGAATAACGATGGGGAAGGTCAATTAGTGCCACGCTCCTCTCCAGGGTGGCCTGGTTGTTCAGTTGTTTGTCGAATGGCACAACTTCCGATGGTTCAAAGTAAATTCTTACCGAACAACCAGACGAATGACACAGCAGACAGAGGGTACCTGGTTCTTTTCCCAGTGTAGTGACCCGTGGAGGATGGAATAAAATACTTTAACAATTACGGGTAGGGACAGCTAACAATAAAATACGGAGTAGTAACACACAGTTCGCTACAGACATATAAACATTAGCTGACTCTTTACAGGAAATGTTTAGGAAGGCTGTGCAAGTCACATGCAGAGAGGTGTGACTAAGGTGCATAAACAAAGTGATTTAACTCCTAAATGGAAGAGAATTGAGCAGTGACACTGCAGGGAAATGATGTATGCACCAAAACTGCTTCAATAAGCTAAAGTTGTTTTGGTTACTATAGTGTCCCTTTAAATTTCATATAGTTTTCTCTCATATTTCTTTGCTGCTGATGGAAATAAAGAAAGTGAAAAGCATAATAGGAGCCACTGTGTCAATAAAATCTTAATATAATAAAGAGCAACCTACATAAAGCAAATATTTATTTGTTACAACATATTTACATAAGCTCTACTGTAGCCTTAATAACATTAGGGCCAACAGATTACAATAAAAATGTATGTTCCAAATTAACAAAAAAAAAAACATATAATTTATTTTTCTTTTCTTAAGAATGTGACATTGAGTTCCTCTTCCATTTCTGCAATCCACTGCTTTGTCTTGATTACAGATGTGTTATTGTATCGCAGGAACAATGATGATACAGTTAGAAGAACGAATAAGTGAACTGGAAAGTTGGCAGGATGGGAAAGGACTCATTGTGTATGGCGCAGGGAATAACTTCTGTACTGGTTCTGATTTGAATGCTGTCAAAGCAATTTCCAGCCCAAAGGCAAGTGAGATAAACTGGAATCTCATCGCTATACCACCTAATGCACCAATTATTTTCAACTGAAAAACATATGTAAAAAAATCATTAGAAGCATAGAAACATAAAGGTGAAAAAGTGTTTACCTACTACCCGAATTTTCAGTATGCTGCAATGTTTACATTATTTAGGGGTTGAAGACCTCCTTACACTTAATAAAAAAAAAAAGATTTGTCGCGATTCATCTCTTCTAATATGCAACTTGCAAGCTAAATTAAGATCTACATTTTAGTATGTAGATCTTGTTGGAAATTGTATGGGGAAGGCCTCCAGCATGCGAGCACTGGACAGTATGAAATCGTCTGATTTTTAGATGTGAATTCACTATAACAAGAGGATTGATGCCCTCACATATTGGGCCAACGAATAATTAACAAGTACATTTTGCTTTCCATAATATTGTCTGGAGCAGGATATGGTGATCACTGTAGTGTAGTAACTATTCAAGTAAATTAAAGCATTGTGAAGTGTTCAATATGTGAAGTGTTCTCATTCCTAATCTATACAAGTTATTGAAGTGTTTAACTTTAACTTTGTATGGTATTTGTACACATTGCATTTGCACAATTTTCCTTTAAAAAATAAATAAATTAAAAAAAAATAATAGTAAAATCTATATTTCTACTTTACACTACCTGAAAATTATCCACGCTGGCTAGTAAGGTATTTCAATGTCTGCATGTACACCTCTTTAGATATCGTACATATAGTTGAATTATTTTTTGATTAGCTCTGTTTGTTTTGTTATCAGGAAGGGATCATGATGTGCATGTTAATGCAGAACACGCTGACAAGAATGCAGAGGTACGACTGTTCACTATTCTTTATTACACCAAATAAGCAAATAGTTTGTTTTCTAGAATCTGAGGAAATGTGCAATGTTGGCCTTTAAAGCGGATTTGTCACTTTCAGTATTTCATAAAGATATATTCTTTAAGAAATACTGATCAAGACTATGTTGGAGTTTCATTTAAATTTAAAAGCAATCCAAGTATACCATAAGAAAAAGAAAGGGACTATATTATCTGGTTGACAAAAGACAATGATGTGCCATAAACATTTGTCCAATCCCTGCAGCTGTCACAAATGACGGCTGTTGTATTTAGGCTTTATCTGTAGAGGATCCCGCAGGATTCAGAATGCTCACGCATGTTTGAGAGTACAACACTTTCCCTGAAAAGACAATGTTTACATTAAAAAGCATGCAGGGACAGGCTATAGACACCAGAACAACTACATTAAACTAATTATTACCTCCACCCTCCTTACTATTATTAGGTGGGGTAGGCAAGTTAATTTATTTTTAATAAGGGACCCCTAGCCACTTAGGGGGTCATGCCACAATGTGGGGGTGGACAATGTCCCCCTAACATTTTGTTTTATTATTTAGAGCCCCCCACCCGCTGCCCATTGGTGGGGAATATTATAATTAGGGACCCTACCTTCTGCTAATGGATGGGACTGTTAATGATATTAAGTCCTTCCCCTGATTATTACCACCAATGGGTGAGGCCGGGGAAACACTAGGTTACCCCTACCACTTATATCATAGTAGCCTCCAACAGCTAGTCACAAATATATATATTTTTATGTATGTATGTATATATGTGCGTGTGTGTATGTATATATGTATGTGTGTGTGTGTATGTATATGTATGTATGTATGTGTGTATATATATATATATATATATATATATATATATATATATATATGTGTGTGTGTGTATGTATATATATGTATATATATGCATATATATATATATATATATATATATATATATATATATATATATATATATATATATATATATATATATATATATATATATAAATAAATAGGTTATGGTGGGGAAAAATTGTGATTGAAAACCCCTTCCACCTGAAGTTTGTGGATAGTTAATACAATGTTAAACAAAAATCTGCACACAAGTCAAGCCATACGACTTGCTTTTCCCACAGAAATCCCAAATCTGCAGTGATGTTACAACTGCAAAGGATTCTGGGTGGGCATATGCAAACTGCTTGGAACACAATTTTTTCCCCACCATAACCTATTTGGATTTTGCTTCCCAAGCACTACCAAGCCTCAATAAGCAAACCAGTAACCAACCTCATGCTGAAGAGTTGCATTAACAACGAAACAGCTGTCCATGAGTGGTTCACTGGTTTTGCATCTTTTCCTAAATTGTGTTTCAAGCAGTTGTATACTGCAAACACAGATTAAAAGGAATCCATGTTTAAAATGGAATGAGGCAAAAATGTGATTCTTTGTTAAACTAATTTGCATATGCCCACCCAGAATCCTTTGCAGTTGTAACATCACTGCAGATTTGGGATTTCTGTGGGAAAAGCAAGTCGTATGGCTTGACTGGTGTGCAGATTTTTGTTTAACATTGTATTAACTATATATTCTATGTTTCTATATATGCATAATACATATATAGAAACATAGAATGTGATGGCAGATAAGAACCATTCGGCCCATCTAGTCTGCCCAATTTCCTAAATACTTTTATTAGTCCCTTATCTTATAGTTAGGATAGCCTTATGCCTATCCCACGCATGCTTAAACTCCTTTACTGTGTTAACCTCTACCACTTCAGCTGGAAGGCTATTCCATGCATCCACTATCCTCTCAGTAAAGTAATACTTCCTGATATTATTTTTAAACCTTTGATCGCCCCTCTAATTTAAGACTATGCCCTCTTGTTGTGGTAGTTTTTCTTCTTTTAAATATGGTCTCCTCCTTTACTGTGTTGATTCCCTTTATGTATTTAAATGTTTCTATCATATCCCAATTGTCTCGTCTTTCCTCCAAGCTATACATGTTAAGTTCCTTTAACCTTTCCTTGTAAGTTTTATCCCGCAATCCATGAACCAGTTTAGTAGCCCTTCTCTGAACTCTCCCTAAAGTATCAATATCCTTCTGGATGCACTTATCCACATTAAATGTCAGTTGCCACAACTCTGACCATTTTCTAGTTTACCTAAATCATTTGCCATTTGGCTTATCCCTCCTGGAACATCAACCCTGTTACATATCTTTGTATCATCTGCAAAAAGAAATACCTTACCATAAAGACCTTCTGCAATATCACTAATAAAAATATTCAAGAGAATGGGTCCAAGTACAGATCCCTAAGGTACCCCACTGGTGACAAGCCCATGCTTTGAATATACTCCATTGACTACAACCCTCTGTTGCCTGTCACTCAGCCTTACCCATTCAAGAATATTAGAATCCAAACTTAAAGATTGCAGTTTATTGATAAGCCTTCTATGTACAACAGTGTCAAAAGCCTTACTGAAATCAAGTTAAGTCATGTCTACTGCACCACCCTGATCTATTATTTTAGTTACCCAATCAAAAAAATCATTAAGATTAGTTTGGCATGATCTCCCTGAAATAAATCCATGTTGTCTCTGATCTTGCAATCCATGTGTTTTTAGGTGTTCAACAATTCTATCCTTTAACATGGTTTCCATTACTTTCCCCACTACTGAAGTAAGGCTTACTGGCCTATAGTTGCCCGACTCCTCCCTACTACCTTTCTTGTGAATGGGCACAACATTCGCTAACTTCCAATCTTCTGGGACTACTCCTGTTAACAACGATTGGTTAAATAAATCTGTTAATGGTTTTGCTAGTATACCACTAAGCTCTTTTAATAACTTTAGGTGTATTCCATCAGGTCCCATTGACTTATTTGTCTTTACTTTTGACAGTTGAAATAGAACCGCTTCCTCTGTAAACTCACATGTAACCAGGGCCGGCCTTAGGTGTTCAGGCGCCCTGTGCGAAACAATCTTGTGGCGCCCCCCCACCCCCACCCCCACCCCCACCTGTCTCTGTTTGGACCCCTTCAAACTATTTCAGGAGCATTCACAATCTGTTGCCTCCACCCCCTTCTACAAAACCACTGCACCTCTTAACCAAAATCCCTGGCCAGATCTTCACCAAGCCCCTGGCCACCACTTCATCAAACTCCTGGCCACCCCTTCCCCTTCATCAATGCCCTGGCCATCCCTTCGTCAAACTCCTAGCCACCCCTTACCCTTCATCAATCCCCTCCCACCCCTTTATCAATTCCTGCCACCCCTTCATCAGTCCCCTGCCCCTCTCATCAATTCCCTCCCACCCTTTACTCAGCCCTCTGCCCCTATTCATCAGCCGCCTGGCCCCCTAATCAATCCCCTCCCACCCCTTTAACAGCCCTCTGCCCCATTCATCAGTCCCCTGACCCCCTCACCAATCCCTTCCCCCTTTTATCAGCCCCCTGACCCCCTCATCAGTACCCTCCCACCCCTATCACCCACCTGCCCCCCTTTAATCAGTCCCATGCCCCCCTTTTCAACCCCCTGCTCCCCTTCATCAGCCCCCTTAATACATCCCATGCCAAATAATCCAACCCCTGGCCACCCCTTCATCAGTCCCCTGCCCCCTCATCAATTCCCTCCCACCTATTTATCAGCCATCTGCCCCCATTTCATCAGCCCCCTGATCTCCTCATCAATCCCCTCCCACTCCTTTATCAACCACCTGCCCCCTTTAATCAGCCCCATGCCCCCCTTTTCAGTTTCCTGCCACCCTTTATCAGCTCCCTTAATAAATCCCCTGCCAATTAATGCAATCCATGCCACCCCTTCATCAATCCCCTGCCCCCCTTAATTAAATTCCTGCACCTCTTCAACAAAACCTATTTAATAAAAAAGAAAAAAAAAGTCACTCACAGTAAAGGCTGCTGCTCCCTGGACTGAGCTGTCTCCGCCGATTGAAGAGCACCGGGTGCCGCCTTCACTCACTGAATTGGATCCTTCCACGGCTCCCTCTGATGACAGAGCACGTCGACGTTACGCAAGTACGCGGCATAACGCCCCCACGCTCCTCCTCCACCCTCCATACAGAAGTGGATTCCCGGCGGCGACTCTCTGCTCATAATTTGCAAGTCAAGTGCAAAGCAGTATTATGCACTTGACTTGCACTTTAAATACAGAACTCGGCCGGCCTGCGAGCTGTGTTGGCCGCCCGGCGCCCCTGTTGCCATGGCGCCCTGTGCGGCCGCACAGCTCGCACACCCCTAAGGCCGGCCCTGCATGTAACAAATTACTAATTTGTCTTTTTTCTTAACTGAGGCCCCTTTCCTTCATTTTGATCTGTAAATACTGAACAAAAATATTAATTGAGGCAGTCAGCTAGACCTTTATCCTCTGCTACATACCTTCTTTCTTTTGTTTTTAATCTAACTAATCCTTGTTTTACTTTCCTTTTCTCATTTATGCATCTAAAATATGTTTTTTGTCCCCCTTTTTACTGACTGTGCTATTTTCTCTTCTGTCTGTGATTTGGAAGCTCTTATAACTTGCTTAGCCTCTTTCTTCCTAATCTTATAGATCTAATACAACACAAAAAAGATGGAGTAGGGCTGCGCCAATACGAATAAAATAGTCTTAGAAAGGGTAGGAGGTCTCACTAGAGTAGCAGTAGATAATCAGGGAAACCTGATAAGACGTATTCTCTTCAATGGGAGTGGATATGTCTCAGGGTGCTAGTTCGTATATATGAAAGAGAGAAGTGTCAGAAAGCAACCAATAGTGAGTATTACTCTTATCACTCTTTTATACTTTATTTCATCACAATTGATAGCACTAATGTTGCCTTTTATCTCCCCTTTGGCGTTTTGGATTACCAGACGGTGCTGACAGATACATCTTCCCACATCCCATAAGCGGGGATTATACCGCTGTATGCTCTTCACACCAGAGCTTGCCATAGCTCTTTTAAATGTGAGTTTTTCTACCGCTTGTTACTTACTGCACTTTTGGACTCTAGACGTACTGCGCTATTGGTTGCTTTCTGCCTCTCCTTTGTTTCATAAATACAAACTAACACCCTGAGACGTATCCACTCCCATTGAAGAGAATACGTCTTATCAGGTTTCCCTGATTTTCTGCTGCTACTCTAGTGACCTCCTACCCTTTCTAAGACTATTTTATTTGTATTGGCGCAGCCCTACTCCAACGTTTTTGTGTTGTATTTGGTCCACTGAAGGACTTGAGGGGTTTCATTCGCTTGGGTTGCTGCCCATTCTGCATATATTGTGTGTTGATTAGCACTGAATTCCTGCTGTACTCTGTGTGTTAATCTCATAGATCTGTCTATTTTCCTCACTCTGGGTTTTTTATAATTACTAAATGCTAACTTTTTGTTTTTTACTATTTTGGCCATATCTGTGGAGTACCACAGTGGTTTCTTGAATTTTTTGCTTTTACTGACAAGCCTAATACAATTTTCTGTTGCCTTCAACAGTGCAACTTTTAAATAATTCCATTTCTCTTGGACTCCATTTAAATTACTCCAGTCTGATAACTCCTTTACACATATTCTAATTTTAGAAAAGTCTGTTTTTCTAAAGTCTAAAACTTTTGTTTTTGTGTGGTGTAAATTAGTCACTGTTCTTACATTAAACCACACTGACTGATGATCATTGGATCCTAAACTTTCACCTACAGTAATATCCGATACCAAATCTCTATTTATTAAAACTAAATCTAGTATGGCCTCTTTTTGAGTTGGCTCCTCAACAACTTGTTTTAGAGAGAATCCCAGTACTGAGTTTAGAATATGTTTTCTCCTGGCACAAGCAGCTATTTTGGTTTTCCAGTTCACATCAGGAAGATTAAAGTCACCCATGATGATAACTTCTCCCTTTATTGTCATTTTAGCTATTTCCTCAACTAGTATATTATCTAACTCTTCTATTTTTCCTGGGGGCCTATAAATCACACCTATACGAGTTACTGTGATTACCAAATTGTAACGTAACCCAAATGGACTCTATATTCGCCTCACTAACTTTTATTAGGCTAGATTTTATGCTATCCTTCACATACAGGGCCACACCTCCCCCTTTCTTGCCTTCCCTGTCTTTTCTATATAAAGAGTACCCTGGTATTGCTATGTCCCAGTCATTTTTCTCATTATACTATGTCTCAGTAACAGCCACTAAATCTACATTATCAGTTGCCATTATTGCCACAAGTTCATGGATCTTGTTCCCTAAACTTCGAGCATTTGTAGACATGACTCTAAGCTTATCATTTTTTAACACATTTTGTACTGGCGCCTTCTGTCCTTGTTTTGGGGGGCAGTTGGATTGATGTTTTATCACCCTTTTACCCCACCCCCTTCCATGTTTAAATACATGCTTGCAAAACCTCTGAACTGCTCACTGAGAACATTTGTTCCCTTTTGAGAAAGATGCAAATCATCTTTTTTGTACAGCTTATTTCCACTCCAAACAGAGCTACCATGAGAAATGAAGCCAAATCCTTGCTCCCGACACCATTCACCAAGCTACAAGTTAAAGTCCCTAATACGCATCCGTATGCACAGGCAGAACTTCAGAGAATGACAGCGTGGAAGCAACCTGCCATATATCATTGGCAAAAACCCCAAAAACTAATTTTACTCTGAAACCTCATTGCAAGCCAAGTAATTTGTCCCTAGATGAACAAGTACATCCAATTCCCCTTCCTGCTTTGCTTGCTTAACAATATTACAAATACGTCTCCTGTCTCTGTGAGCAGTAGGTCCAGGAAGACATCTCAGAAGACCACTATTGTCCATCTCCACACCTCTAATGATAGAATCCCCCAACAACAACAGCTTTCTATTAGGCCTCACCATAGTCTCCAAGCCTGTCTCCACAACACCACGACCCTCAGTGCCTGAGCCTGTCTCCACAACACCACTACCCTCAGTGCCTGAGCCTGTCTCCACAACACCACTACCCTCAGTGCCTGAGCCTGTCTCCACAACACCACTACACTCTGAAAGTGCTGACAATGAATTATGTAGAGCAACAGACTGTGCAATATGCCTTTTATCCACAACTCTAAGTCTACCAGATAACTACGGTAATCTATCTGCCATTCCTAGTACGTCTCTGCGGCAGTTGCTTTGCAGCAGTTCCAGCCTCAGTTTGTTTACCAGATAATCTACAAATCTCAGACTTCAAAAATACAATCTTCTGCCGCAATATAGAGAACTGTCTACAGATTAGACCGCACCCAAATCTCCAGAAAGTGGAATGTGAAACAAATGCATAACAACTATTACACTGAACTAAGTCATTTTAATGAGGTGAATAATTTAAATCAAACAAACCTTAACTGTTTGTTTTTGTCCTCCTGTATACCTCAGATTACCTCCAGTTTATCTCTACAATATCTCCAATCACACACTTAGAAGCAGCAACCAAGCTATATTAGCCACGCTAAATACCACAACCCTTATATAAATCCTAAAAGCACCAACCACTAGGAATGTTTAACACCTGGGTAGGCCTTTTCCTTTTTGCAAACAATATCTAATTAACCAACAATCAATAGAAAGCACCTTGCTAATCAAATAGCCTACCAATTACCAACACGAAATCAAACCTTGAGCAATCAGTAACCTTTTTATATGTGTGGATATGTGAATATGTGTATGTGTACAGTGAGGGAAAAACATTTGATCCCTTGCTGATTTTGAACGTTTATCCACTGACAAAGAAATGATCAGTCTATAATTTTAATGGTAGGTGTATTTTAACAGTGAGAGACAGAATAACAAAAAAATAAAAAAAATCCAGAAAAAAGCATGTCAAAAAAGTTATACATTGATTTGCATGTCAATGAGTGAAATAAGTATTTGATCCCCTATCAATCAGCAAGCTTTCTGGCTCCCAGGTGTCTTTTATGCACTTAATGAGCTGAGATTAGGAGCACTCTCTTAAAGGAAGGGCTCCTAATCTCTGCTCGTTACCCGTATATCAATCAGATTCCAAACTATCCACCATGGCCAAGACCTTAATGCTGTCCAAGGATGTCAGGGACACGATTGTAGACCTACACAAGGCTGGAATGGATTACAAGACTATTGCCAAGCAGCTTGGTGAAAAGCTGACAACAGTTGGTGGGATTATTTGCAAATGGAAGAAACACAAAATAACTGTCAGTCTCCCTCGGTCTGGTGCTCCATGCAAGATCTCACCTTTTGGAGTTTCAATGATCATGAGAACGGTGAGGAATCAGCCCAGAACTACACAGGAGGATCTTGTTAAAGGGACACTATAGTCACCCAGACCACTTCAGCTCAATGAAGTGGTCTGGGTGCCAGGTCCCCCAGGTTTTAACCCTTCAGATGTAAACATAGCAGTTTCAGAGAAACTGCTGTATTTACATTGTAGGGTTAATCCAACCTCTAGTGGCTGTCTTCCTGACAGCCGCTAGAGGTGCTTCTGCGACTGTTTGAATGCGCACGCGGCTCTTGCTGCACATGCGCATTCCGCTCCACTCGGGAGCTGACGTCGGTGGGGGAGGAGAGGTAACCAGCACCGATGGAACCCGGGGCTGGATTAAGGTAAACTGCTGAAGGGGTTCAGCGCCAAGGGAGGGGGACCCTGAGGGTGGGTGGGGGTGTCCTAAGGATGCAATAGTGTCAGGAAAACGAGTTTGTTTTCCTGAAATTATACTGATCCTTTAATGATCTCAAGGCAGCTGGGACCATAGTCACCAAGAAAACAATTTGTAACATACTATGCCGTGAAGGACTGAAATCCTACAACGCCCTCAAGGTCCCTCTGCTCACAAAAGCACATGTACAGGCCCGTCTGAAGTTTGCCAATGAACATCTGAATGATTCAGAGGAGAACTGGGTGAAAGTGTTGTGGTCAGCTGACACCAAAATCGAACTCTTTGGCGTCAACTCAACTCGCCGTGTTTGGAGGAGGAGGAATGCTGCCTATGACCCCAAGAACACTATCCCCACTGTCCAACCTGGAGGTGAAAACATTATGCTTTGGGGGGGTTTTCTGCTAAGGGGAAAGGACAACTGCACAGCATCAAAGGGACAATGGACAGTCCCTTTTTCACTTGGGTGAAAACCTCTTTCCCTCAGCCAGGGCATTGAAAATGGGTCGTGGATGGGTATTCCAGCATTACAATGACCCAAAACACACAGCCAAGGCAACAGGAGAAGCACATTAAGGTCCTGGATTGGCCTAGCCAGTCTCTAGACCTTAATCCCATAGAAAATCTGTAGAGGGAGCTGAAGGTGTGTGACAAACCTGGTGGCCAACGACAAGAAACGTCTGACCTCTGTGATTGCCAACTAGGATTTTGCCACCAAGTACTAAGTCGAAGGGGTCAAATACTTATTTCACTCATTGATATGCAAATCAATGTATAACTTTTTTGACATGCATTTTTCTTGTTATTCTGTCTCTCACTGTTAAAATATACCTACCATTAAAATTATAGACTGATCATTTCTTTGTCAGTGGACAAACGTTCAAAATCAGCAGGGGATCAAATACTTTTTTCCCTCACTGTACATTTACATATATATGGGTCTGTGTATTTTTAGGCACATTTGTACATGTGTAGGTACATGAATAGATGAAAAAGAGTAATTTGTCCCAGTACTATCAAAGAAAAGGTCAATAAAATCCTTTATTGGTAAAACAAAAAACACACACACACAAATCCTTAACCACTTGTCACATCTGCCACCATTGTAGTTAATTGGGGCAGTATATGTGACAGGATCTAAATATGCTAAGTGAGGAATATTACAGTAGGCCTGTAATAAAAGAGGGCCCACCAAGGTGAAATATAATATGTAGGTGGGTGGGGTCAAATATAACAAATAAATAAACGGACAAAATATGGGCAGAAACCCTGTAGGGAGTTAAGCAAATACTCCCTGGAAGCAGGAGCTGTACAATACACGCAACACAGTTGCAATTGACTGGCTAGATTGCTTGATCATAATATATTGACACAAGTGTAGCAAAATCTATTGTAGTCCTCAAATAGAATATAATAAACACTATGTTAGCAAAACAAAAAAGATGCTAAATGAGGATATACAAAACTAGTGCAATGTGCTATCTCAAAAAAATATATGTAGTAATTATTAGCATTAATATGCTCATTGCCAATAAGTAAGAACAGCAAACAAGGTTAATGCCCCCCCCCCCCCAAAAAAAGGTAAAATACCATGCTCCGAAAACGCCAATAAAGACTGAGATGCATATAAGTCTGCAGCAATGTCTCAGTCTATGGGTATATAATAGAAATTAGCTGACACATCTAGGATCATAGCCTAGGATAACGCACAATATCCGTAGATTCCCTGATCTGTGCCTTCAAGGGCACCTGTCTCTAAAAAAATAAATAGGGTTAACTGGCTAGCTGCTCTGTGGTATAACTACTTAGACGGTCAGCACTGAGATATACTCATTATAACAACTATACTAATCTGTGCCTTCATGGGTACCTATCCATGACTAGTGAGATAGAGCTGAACTGGTAAACTAAACTGATAAACTAATCTATTATAATAGATCTAGTAAGATAGTCCGTAGAGAGGTCCTGGGTGTAGCGATATAAATCAAGAATATGAGTGTAAGGTAGCCAGTAAATGTAGATATTTGCACCAAACAGGACCAAGTGTAGGACCATGTGTAGGTACATGTATTGATACTTGTGCGTGGATGTTTGTATAGGTGTGCATGTACATATATTTGTGCATTTGGTTGTAGTTAAATGTATATCGTACGTACTTGTGTATACTTGTACATACCCACTGTGTGTGTGTGTGTGTGTATATATATATATATATATATATATATATATATATATATATATATATATATATATATATATATTATATATATATATAATTTGTGCTCGGAATTTCAATAGGTTATGGATTGTAGAAGATGCAAAGTTGGTTGACGTGTGCCAAAACCAACGTACCAGTAGGCCTGTAATAAAAGAGGGCCCACCAAGGTGAAATATAATATGTAGGTGGGTGGGGTCAATCAGCTTGCTCGGCAAAGGTGCGTAAGGGTTTAAGTAGGGGCCTTAGTAGGGGCCTTAACTCCTCCCACAAATTCAGGCCTAATGGCCTTTTAACTTCTGCTCGGAATTTCAATAGGTTATGGATTATAGAAGATGCAAAGTTGGTTGAGGTGTGCCGAAACCAACACACTAGTAGGCCTGTAATAAAAGAGGGCAAAAGGAGAATTCAAAGTAAACACACTTTATTGCAAGTTTACAAAGCTAGACTTCTGAAAGCTTGCCGAAGCTCCTTCTCTGGTTGTGGTATGTAAGTATTGTAAATGGATGATTTCCAGCGGCCCAGTCTCTTGATGATGTGGACTGGTGTGTTAGAGCTTGATGCGGAAGAGGCTGCTCCTATACGAAAGGAGTGACCGGAGAAGGAAGCCGGGTTGTAGCCCAACCTTGACAGTAGCGTCCTAATGTGAGAAGTGAATTTAGCTGTGGTGAGTGGGTGCCCTTGGAGTAGCAATAGTGGAGTGTTTGGTGAGTGTGTGTGGTGAGATACGAGAAATAAGTCAAGTACTTTGACTGGACACCAGATTACATAGTGGTCGTCGACCTTTCTAAGATGAGACAGCTTAAGGCTTGATATTGTATCTGCCTGTCTTATGACTGTGAACTCCCTAGGTCTGAGGAAGCCGTAGAAAGCAATAAAGATAGCTGCCTTTTACACTAGATAATGGTGATAGTCGATGGGAATTCATGAATTCTTAATCTATTTAATTCATATTTTACTCTGCCATTCTATCACCATCTTCTGCACTGTTTGCTTATGTTTTCTCTCTTCCCCCCTCACTCTGTGATCTTCACACAAGATATTTACGATCCTCTGCAAGAATGGTGTCTATTTTCTATGAAACCTGTGTCTTATCTGCACTCAGGTCACTTTAACCCCTGTATCACAACTCAATTTTGAATTATATGTGTCGTCTTTGCTCAGAAATGCTTAAGACTTGAGAAAGGGAGGTTCTCCCGAAAGCTTGTCATTACAAAATTCTGTTAGTCCAATAAAAAAGGTATTACAAGATACAAATTTTATCTGTGTGTTTGTGTGTGTGTGTGTGTATATATATATATATATATATATCATATTCTCTCACACACATACCTAGAGACAAACACCTTGTGACATACACTGTTCCAGATACACATAGATACACACTGCAGGATACACATATACAATGACAGGCATAGGTGCACACAGATAAACAATGTTAGATACCTGCAGTAGGCACACAGATTTCCACTGTCAGACTCACATGCATAGATGCACAATGTCAACACAGATGTACACACTGTCAGACACACACACACACACTCAGAAACAGATGCATGCACATACACATGGTCATTAACACTGTTAGACACACATACAGTCTCTCTCACATGCACCCACAAATGATTTATCTTAATAGTGTTTTTGATTATTATCCTCCACCCTACATTTGTGAGAGCTGAAGGGGATCTTATCCATGGTGGACAGTGGAGCTGCTCTAATTTCTGTACACTGCCTGACCAGCTCCCTCGTGTGCCATATATTGATGCCTGTGCTTGAGCGATTCATATTTCAGATTTAAGCATCACTATAGGGCACACAAGGGAGTTGTGCAGACACAGCAGATATTGATTACAGCTCCCTTGGTACCCAACTTTCCCCTACTTTGCACATTCTGGCAGAATAGGACTTTGGGCTTACACCGACCGGCCCTGTCTTTCTAAAAAGTGTTACTATTTACAGTTACAGTATATATCATACCAAAAGAATCATTTCATAGATCAGATGATAAAACATTAATTGCTTTTTAGGCTACTGTTAATTAGATAAATCCATTTATAACATGAAATTGTTCTTTATTTGTGTTTATTCCTACCATAATTTTTGCGTAGGTTATCCACTGTAGAAATTCTCTTACATTAACATTCAGAATGTATTAAATGCATGATACATAGTGTTTCCTTTTAAAACTTTCTTTTTTTCTTGCAGATTACCTTTGATAAGTGTTGCATTAATCCAAGGAAAAGCCATGGGTGGAGGATCAGAGCTTTGCACTGCCTGTGATTTCAGGTTAATTGACCATTTGACCTAGTGAAGAAATACTCTACAAACCATAATTACAACAGCACGTTTTAGTGGTTATGTAGCCAAGAGTCTTTTAGTGCCTTCAGATGTTAAATAGTCTCAGACCATTTGACCAACTTACCTAGATTTGTCAGGCACCCAAGCTTCTTGCAGTCTGAGCTGATGTGCTAAAGTAGAAGTTCATATTTCTTCATACTCCCACAATATCATACCAACTCATACTAAGTTAGAACATTGATAGTTGGCTGAGAGTTTTCAGGTGACTTCCTCTTTAACTTATCAGCTTAGACAGGAACAAGAACAAGGATTAGCTAAAGTTCTGGTGTCCGCAAACACTTCAGAATTTGGGATTTGCTGCAAAAGTGGAGCATTCAGAGAAAAACCTCTTCAAAACGAACAAACAGAAAAACACTTAATCGCTTCTTTAAAGTATTCATTATGACTAGAGCCATTTCCGGAGTATTATTATCCGTGTTTATCTTACAGAAGCATCAATGCTAGGGTTGTTAAATTACATAAGGCTTGAATAGTTTATTCTTTATAATAATCAAACCATTTTCCCCAAATCTTATTGTAAAAGCTGATGTTATCCTTAAAATACACTGTCTTTTTCCATTAGGCCTTGATATTTAATCTGGGTTTTGATCTCTATTATAGAGGGAGATATATTCTGTTTCCATTTTCTAGCAATACATAGTTTAACATTCATCAAAATATGTATAGTCAAATATTGAGAGAATTTATAAATTTTTGAGAAATTTAAATGGAATAAAAAACTTTCTGGAGAGAACGTAATATTTACTTTTAAATCAGTAAAGAGTTTAGATATTTCCAATTTAAGAATATCCAAACCTATACAATCCCACCACACATGTTTAAATGAACCATATTCACTATTACAACTCCAGCAGGTATTTGAGGAGTTGGCTTGAAATTTACATATTTTCGTAGGGACCATATACCATCTATGGATAAGTTTAAGGTATGTTTCCTGTATGTTTATACAATGGACCGATTTTCTTAAAGCTTCAAATGCTTTTAACCAATCTTGGGCTGAAAAAGATTTATTTAGGTCAATTTCCCACCTAGAGATCGTATTATATTTTACCTCTTGATTTAATACCTCCAAAGATCTTCTAACTGCTGAAGATTTATTTTTAACCTCTTCAAAAAGGATCTTCTCAAAAGACAAATCTTTAATTATAGTTGCCTTATAAAGAAAGTTTTTTTTTTTTTTTTAATTCTTAGGTAAAATATTCTTTAGTCACAAGTCCAATTTTTTCTTTGATACTTAGAAAGCTACAAAATCGAGAAAAGTTGTATAGGTCCTGAATTTTTAACCCAACTGTAAGTAACCAACCAGATAAGTTAAGATCTTGAATGAAGAATTTTAGAATCTCCAGAGGGGCATTTGAGGAAATTTGGTTTGGAGCAAAAAAATGTTTCTTTATTGGTATTATAGTTTGGAAAGTTTGGGAGATAATTAAGTTGTCAATAGGTAGGTTTTTAAAAAGTATTTTATCAATCCAGAAAAGACCAAAAGGATCAAAGGTATTACATAGGCTCTTTTTATATAAATACCAAGCTTTCTGCTTTGAGTTATTATTTCCCCATTCTAAATAGTGTGAAAACATAACTCTGTCATGGATATAAAATGTATTCGGAAATGATAAACCTCCTTCTGCTTATCTAGCCGACATAACTTTAAGAGCAATCCTTGGTTTTTTATTGCCACACACATAAGATACAAATAAACCATGAAACAATTTAAGTATTTTCCTTGGGACTCTAAGTGGGATGGTGCGAAGTAGATATTCTAATTTTGGAAGTAAATATGCTCTGATAATATTTATTCTTCCAAGCCAAGATATTTGTAATGTAGACCATTTTAGAATTGTTTCTAAATTCTCTTAAACGTATGGTATAATTATCAGTGGTCCATTCTTTAATATTAAAGTTTATATTTATTCCCAGATAACATAAGGAATTGGACCATTTAAATTTACAGTTATTATTTAGGTTATTTATTAATGCGTATACTGGGTAGAGTCAACTAGCCCTGGAGAGTGGAGAAAGTTGTAAGAATAGGGATAGGAATAGATTGGTGAAGGGTCTCAACTAGTAAAGAAAAGCTCCTATAAAAGCTCTTAAAATTTAAATGGATAAAAGTAAGTGTAAAAACCTACACATACCAGGAGATCCCTAAACCAGTCGGAGATGAAATCTTATATTCTTATTGATGGCTTTAAAAGGTAGAATGCAAAGTAGAGCTGGTGCCGTTAAAATATGAGGAATTGAAAGAACTTGAAAGTGTAAAGTGCAATATGCAAATGGTCACTAGGTGTCAGCCAAGCTTCAAATTTATTAATAAAAATTAAAATCCACTCACGAACATGAAGTGGATTTTTAATTTTTATTAATAAATTTGAAGCTTGTAATTGAAAAGCACTGCTACCTCTCTTTTTTTTTTTTCAGTTCCTATCTTGGAGGAACCATTATTACCACATACCTGCTATAGTGGTCTGTGAGTAATACTATCACCTTTGTTACAATTTCACATTTTTGTTTTCATTTTATGTTACCAATACTGGTTATATTGTTTTTACAGCCTTATACATGAATGCTACTGTCAATTTTAATGGATAGTAACACTATGTGTTGACTGTGATAGTGCAACCATTTCATACCAGGTCCTTTCTTTACATTAAACAAACTTTGGCATCCAGAATACTATTTACTGACTTTTTATATTATCAAGTTGGACTCATTTCACCAAGCACTGGACTATTGAGTGGGATATTGCATAACAGATGAGATTGTGCAGATTTATATTTCTGCCATAGACCATTTAGGTCACATTTGTATTTTGTTTTTGTTTTTAATTACATGTCTGCTGATTATTCATGGTTTAGTAACATTCCCCTCTTATGTGAGATTGCTCAGCACTTGGCTGACACCTAGTGACCATTTACATATTGCACTTTACACTTTCAAGTTCTTTCAATTCCTCATATTTATCATACAGAGCTTGAGTTTTTTGCATATTGATCTTCTAGTTAGAAAATCTACTGTATTCTTCTATACCGCGAAGTGTAAATGGTATAGAAGAGTCTGGGTTTGTTAATGTCAAAATCATATCATCAGCGAACATTGTTATTTTTTGTTCCTGAGTTCCTAAGTTCACCCCGGTTATGTTATGCTGCTGCCTTATATATGCTGCCAATGGTTCAATAGAAAGAACATAAAGAAGGGGGGCCAATAGGCATCCCTGACGGGATCCATTTTTAATAGAAAACCAAGCAGAATCTAAACCATTACCATAGATTTTTGCTATAGGAGAAGAATATAAAGACATTGTTATAAATATTAAAAGATCCATCAATCCCAAATGCGGAAAGTTTAGCTGATAAAAATTTCCAATTTACTCTGTCAAATGCCTTTTCGGCATCGACTACTATAAAAACTGTAGAAATAGATTTTTTGCCGACTTCTATCATCATCATTCAGAATTTTGCAAATATCACTAGCTGATCTTCCTTTTATAAAACCAGATTGGTCTAAATGAATTAGATCTTAAATTATCTTGGACAATCTATCTGCTAGGATTTTTGAAAATATTTTTATATCCAGATTGACGAGGGAAATTGGACGGTAATTGGATATCTAGTGTGAATCTTTCCTGGGTTTTGGGATTGGGGAAATTGTGGCTTCCAGCATTCTAGAGGAAAAACTATTGGAGGTTGTTATATCTGAAAAGGTTTTTAATAATAAAGGGGTTATTATTGACTCGAAGGATTTGTAAATGTACACAGAAAATCCATCGGGACCAGGTGCTTTCCCATTACTAAGCTTGGCAATTGTTTTCTTTATTTCCTCTGCTTCAATAGGTTTATTCAAATTTAGTAATTTATCAGAGTTTAATTTTGGAAGATTAAGTTTTGTGAGAAAGTCTTTTAAATCGTTCTCAGAGAAGGTATTTTCTTTTAAGTTATATAATGAGGCATAGTATCTAGCAAAGGCCTTGCTTAAATTATGCGGAGATAAGCATATTTTATCTCCGTCTATAATTTTTTTTTTTTTTTATTGTGAATTTTCTCTGATCTGATTTAAGTTTATATGACTTAGATTTCCCTACTTTATTATTACTACTGTACCATCTTTGGTTCAGGGATATAATTGAATTTTTAATTTTATTTTCCAAGATTACTTTTATTTGACCTTGGAGGGTGTTGATTTGTGAAGCTTAATGGGAATTTGGATTTAATTTATTGCTATGCTCAAGTTTAGACAGTTGTATATAAAGGTCTGCTAAATTCACAACTCTAGTTTCTCTAGTTCTAGCACCTAGCTTAATTAAGTTATCCCTCATAACACATTTAAAAGTTAGCCATAGAGTTTTGTTAGAAACTTGTCCATTGTCATTAATTTTTATAAATTCTTTTGCCATATTTGCAAGATACTTCCTATTTTTTTCAGATGTTATAATTGATTTGTTTAAGCGCCACTGGTGTTTAATGTTATATTCTGGGTTATTTTCTAATATTACGCTAATAGGGGCATGGTCAGACCAAACAATAGGTCCAATTTCTGAACTTACGAATTTTCTCAAATTAGCCATATCTGTTACAAAGAAATCTATTCTAGAATAACTAAGATGGACTTTAGATAAAAACGTAAAGTCCTTTTCAGTCGGATGTTGTACCCTCCAAATATCGAATAACCGAGATTTAGCTAGGAAGTCTTGGAGACAAATATATTGCTTTTTATGAGGATAGTTCAATTGTTTTAAGTAAAACACTTAATGTTGTAATTATTATTATTATTATGCATTTTAACATTGTTACTAGTGCCTTTTCAAGTTGGTGGAGCGCAAGACTGGACACATGGATTTGACTTTCTTAATGTTTCTAATCATGAATAGGAATAGGTCTATATGACTCTAACCTCCAATATATGTGGATGATCCACATTAATTACTATTAATTCCACATTAATTCCTATTAATTCGTTTAAGAAGTTGGGCATTTTGAGACTACATTCAAATTACAAGTGTAATACAGAATGTAACCACAAGATGTCGACCAAGGATTACTTTTAAAAATATTGTTTAAAATACTAGGTGCCTGCCTTACATTAGTGTGCATGGGGGAGCTGTGGGGACCAAGTGGCAAGCACCGCTATCTGTGTGGTGCCTGCGTGTATATCAGGTGGGGCAGTTGCCACGTGGTACACACCGCTGTCCATGAGGTGTTTGCCTAACAGAGGTGGGACCTGGGGGAGCCAAACGGCAAGCACCACTGTCTGTGCAGTGCTTGCCTGTAAATCAGGTGGTGGGAGCCATGTAACAGGCACTGTTGTCTGTGCAGTGCCTGCCTGAATTACAGGGGGAAGGGAGCGAGCGTGTGAGCTCGTAGAAGGTAATCTTTGTGCCACGCTTCATTTCGGGTCCAGTCATGGCATCAGGCATGGCTGTAACATGAAGTTCCTGCCGCTGATCTGCCCCTCTCAGCTCTCCCATCCCAGGTACCAGGAAGCAAAAATGGAGGTAAAAATAAATAGGTAAATATAAAAAATATATATATAGTGATGTCCCGAATGGTTCTTTATTGAGTAAACTTTGACCCTGTACCTCACAGTCAGCAGACACATTCCAGCCAATCAGCAGCAGACCCTCCCTCCCAGACCCTCCCACCTCCTGGACAGCTTACTAATAATGCAGCTTCACAATGGATGCTGTCCATGAGGTGGGAGGGTCTGGGAGGGAGGGTCTGCTGCTGATTGGCTGGAATGTGTCTGCTGACTGAGGTACAGGGTCAAAGTTTACTCAATGATGAGTCCGGGGCGAACCGTTCGCAACATCACTATATATAAACATTTATAAAAATAAATATAATAAGTACAAATTTTATATTTTCCGATTTATTTTTACCTCCATTTTTTTTTGCTTCCTGGTACCATCACATCCTTAGGTGGGGATTATATCACCCATGCTGTATACACTAGATCAAGTTCTGCTCTAGTAAATGTAAGTAAATGTAATTTCTTTATTTCTCCTTTTACACCTAATAGTACTTACTTTACCATTGGAGTATCTCTTTTGTATTTTCTTTTCTTTTTTTTTTTTTTAACATCAGAATATGGTATTTGTTTCATTCCTTGAATAGTTATAGTTGAAATTATCAAACACCAAATCATCATATGTATTGTTCAGTCTCTCTTTCTCTCACTTTTCTAATTACTTTTCTATTTCCTTTTTTTGTTTATCTAGACACTGTTACAATTTTATTAAACAATCAAATACATAACATAACAGACTAACAAACAAACAGACATTTTCTCGGTACGCGGTGTAATAATAAAAAATAATTTTTTTTAAAAAAATTCCCATATCAGGCTTGGGATGGCGGGGGCATATATTTTCCTAGGCGGAAGGAAACCATACGGCTACAGAAAAAACAAGGAAAAATCCACTAGGAAAGGAAAAGATAAAGAAAAAAACCTAATTGTTCAGGGTCTAATTTTTTAATCCATTTGTCCCAGTAGGTGTAGTGATGTCCCTTGTTTGGTGCAAAGTCTCTTTGTACTTTCACATATGTCCTGCACATTGTACCTTACTTGAGACATCAGAGATGTCCACATCTGCACATATCCTTAGATGGGGACTATTCCGTCCACGTGCATTACAGTTGACCTCTAAGTTAGCTCTATCAAATGTGAGTGATACTACATAAGATTATTTTACTACCCACCCATCAGTCATACTGTACTGCACTGTTGTATTATTTTTACTTTTATCTTTGAGGTCAACTGTATGTACAATTACAAAAAGATTTGTGTACGTATATATTGTTTGGGGCGCGGTCTCCTCCTACCTTTTCTCAGAAAAAAAATATAGTTTATTTTAAAATTGGTGGACAGGCCTCCACTGATTGATTGAGACCATATTTTAAGCACTTCACTGCAAGATTTAGGTTAGCGAGAGCTTCAAAGAGGAGTCCGGGATCGGCACCTGTTGGACCCCAGGTAAGAAGTCAAATGATTCTAAAACAGTTGACTAGTTACAGTTGGGGCTGCCAGAGATCTCCTGGCACCATAACCACTATACTGCACTGTAGTGGTTATAGTGCATGGAGTATTGCTTTAAAATGCTAAATTGGATGCTAGACTGAATACAGATGAGATCATACAAATGTGTCAGGTTTGGCATGGGAAGTATATTTTGTGCTACCTCCTGTTTGTAAGGTACGTAACGTTTATAATATCAACAGTGCTATATAAAAACCAAAACCAGAGATTGTACGGTAAGTGCTTTGTATTCTTAGCACTACAGTTTTCCTTTAAATAAAGTGAACATACAGTAAATAAAAAAGTGAACATTGTTTAAAGACAGAAATAAGGAATATATCCCTGTATGTCACTAAAATTTTACAAAATTCACTGTCATTGTACATTGGTGTAAATGCCATTGTGGAGAAGGGGATTCTAGGATATGATCAGACGCTATAGATCAGAGTAAGAGGTTCCTGATTGGTTAAACATTTTTCTGTTTGTATATGTCTTCAAAGCAATATCTGTATAATGTAACTGGTACTATCTTTGCTTTCCTTTAAATAAATAATGAAACAAGTTACGTTAAAAAATAATAATAAATAAATATATATATATATATATATATATATAAAATTGTTTAAATGTGGTCAATGAAGAAATAAAATGATAAAGCAATTTACAGGTTATTACATTAGTTGGGCAAGAACAGTTGGATATTGGAAGTTGCTCAAATACCCTAAAAATTTAAATGTCATGCCTTTAGCAACAAGGATAAGCAAACACCTTCATGTAATTTGTCTTGAGACATTTAAAATAGTAACAAGATATGGTCTTAAACTGATGTCAGTGCTATAAACTCACTTAAAGTGTGCATTTTACATTGATCAAAGTATAAATATTATGTTTCATTTACAGGCTAATGACTCCAGGCAGTGAAATTAGATTTGTTCATAAACAGATGGGACTAGTTCCAGGATGGGGTGGAGCAGCCAGGTTAATTCATCTGATTGGAAGCAGACATACTTTGAAACTACTTTCTGGCACTCTAAGAGTTGATCCTGATTATGCATTAAGAATTGGACTTGCAGATGATATTCTAAATTATGGCGATGATAGATCACTAGAGGAAACCCAGAAATGGATGCAGACATACACCAAAGGTTCACCACTCATAAACAGAGCTGTGAAAAAAGTTATTCTGTCCGGTAGAGAGAAGAATCTTGAAGATGCTTTAAGGACAGAGAAGGAGATCTTTGGGACAGTGTGGGGTGGCCCTGATAATGTTCAAGCCTTGTCAAAGGGAACTAAACATAAGTAAATGTTAGATTTTTTTACATTAATGTTGTCCAGCCTTTTTATAAGGTAGGTCTCCAGCCTGACAGAACTCTCTCTCCTTATAGTAGTACTCTTTAAATGGAAATTGTGCTTGTCAAATAAATGCATTTAGAATGGTGCTTGTAATTCATAAAATGTAATGTATGGGATTGTTAAACAATTAAAAAATTAAGAAAGCACTTTATAAAAAAAAATTTACATGATAATTTCACATTTAGAAAATAAAAAGTGTAAATATAAATATGCATTTAATGTTGACAAAAGATTTTGGTGATGGCTCTTCTCCAAGTTTTGTGTATGTGCTAGGGTGATGTAAATGTGAAATAGTAGCTCTTGGGACATAGAAAATGTATCTACAGCAATACCTGAAATGCAAAACATAAGTGAAACGCATATATTTTTTAGCCCTCCCTTCTCCTTTTTTCCCTTCCGTTCCTCCTCCCGTTGCAGGCTCCATGTGCGCGCATGCGCTCTGAGGATGTTAAATCCTCCAATAAAAGGCTTCTCTCCGAAGAGTCTCCAGGCACGGTCTATCCATTTAATGTTACATAGTTACATGTTAAACCATTTTCATGCAGTTAGGATCCCTGGTCATCCATATATTAGCTCCAACAGGATGTATGGCCAAGACAGATATTACACACTTCCTTCTAACACAGTCAAGCAATCACAGCAATGTGTGCTGTGATAGATTGAAAGTGGCCAGCTGTCACTCTCTGTTAATCACAGCCGCCGACTGCTGATCAGTCAAATGTTTCCTCACTAGCCCAAGCCACTCATTTAGCATTAAAAATGGTTTGAATGGAAGAAAAGTGCCAGGGGATTCCAGCCACTGTAACCACTTCAAGAAGATTAAGCAGTTACAATGTCTACCGTGTCCTATTAAGAAGTATATGTCTAGGGGGCATGTCCTGGAGCTGTTGGGGAGCGGTCGCATGCTGTAAACGCGCCGTGCACCTAAGGCCTTACTCTGAGCCATTTGGACCGTAAAACACCCGATCCCAACGACTAACTGCAATAGGTCTCCCTCCAAACCTAAATGGACGTCAGAGAGGCAGGAGAAATCACAATTTTTCACCTCCAAAACTGGGCAGAACAAATTCCTAGTGCTGGCTGAAGAAAGCCAAGATGGCGCATGCGGACATTAGACCCTCCGGTCACCCAAAGTGTCCTTAAGAACATGCTGGACGCAATGTCCGAACATATAAGGTGGACTCTACAATCCTCCTTAGGGGATCTACGCAAAGATCTGCATGAACTGGGGGCCAGAACAGCCACAGTGGAAAACACCATGGCGGAGTACGCTGAGGCCCACACAGACATGGCTACAAAGTGTCAGGGCTTACCGGAGTTGGGAGTCCGGCAGGTAGAGATATATCACCCTTGCAAGTATACACCCATCAGATGCACAAGTGTAGCCAGGAGGAGGATCTTTCTTTACAGAACAATTCGCATTTTCAGGTATTACTGGAGAGAGGTTAGGGCTGGCAATGTATTTGGTGCAAGCGGCAAGTACCTTGATCCCAGGAGTCTTATTTTTTTAACCTTTTTCCTTAGGTACATTACCAGGAGCAGAGTTTGTGGCTTTCAAAGTGGTGATGGTACCAGCTTTAACATGAGTGTCTTCCGGCAGAGGTTCAGACTTCTCAGGAGTACTGGATATGTTATTCGCCATAGTCTGAGTACCCTTCTGTGTCACAGAACAGGGACATGACTAGCAGCAACCTTGTCAGCTTCTTGACTGTGTTTCTGAGATGACTGGATAAGTCCGTAGGGCACCCAATAGAAGAGGTCTTTGCCTGGGTGGACGAATTGGGCAGAGAGAGATGAAATGCCCTCTTTCTCCACAGTACAGGGACAAGCCATGGGCTCTCCTACGGTCTTTTTCCTTTAGAGGCAACCTAGTCCTGGTAAATCCGATCTCCATAGGTTCCTCCCTGTTCAACGAGGTGCTATTGCTAGCTGGAGTACACTCAGGGTAACAGGACAGGTTCCTGGAAGTGGGTTCACGGTGGAACGAGAGGAGAATTTGAAGAGTTTGTACATAGTCTTCTTTAGGTAACCAAGCTCTGATAAAGTCGGTGACGTAGGTTCTGGGTTTCAAGGCAAACAGGAATTCACAGTCCATTTTGAAGATCGAGAAAGTGGAACAGGAACCGTTGAACCTGTTAGGCAGTATGACATAGGGTTCTGGATAAGCAGGTTCCGGGGCTGGGCGTACCGTGCCTTTAAGAAATAAAATTTCTTGCTGCAGCTCCAAACAATCTGGGCCAGGCTGCACACCTGCTGGGACAGGGGTGAGCACATCTCTGCGGACTCCAATGGTCAGTTCCTTATGTCAGGGCTTACCTGAGTTTGGAGTCCGGCAGGCAGAGATATATGCTCACCCTTGCAAGTTAACACAGGCCGAGGTGGTCAGGCAAGAATTCACCTGGCCTGTGAGTCAGTGCACGGGGGCTGTGCAGGATAATTCTCCAAGTCGCAGTACAGGAATGGATAAAGCAGGAGAATCGTTGTGGGTAAAACAGAGGTCAGAGGGTGCCAGAAATCAGGATTAACGAGAAGAAAGCTGAGGTCAGAGGATGCCAGAAGTCAGGATATACGGAGTAACAAGCCAAGGTCAGGATTCAACAGGAGCACACTGGAACACAAACAGCAATACGGAACCAGAGTCTTCTGGGAGAGGTAGTGTTTTATACCTAGCTAATGAGACCATCAACATCAGGTGTACCATGAGAGACATGAGAAACTTCAATGTATGTCCAGCCCCCAGTACTGGATACAAGACAGAGCTGGATACTGGCATTACTAAAGCTGAATGGTGGCTCAGAGGTAAGGGCCCAGAAAAAGGGCCTTAACCTGCCCGCTGACAGAGAGTGAGGTGGTTGGCGCTATCAGGGCACTGCCGTCGGGTAGAGCACCCGGACCAGATGGCCAACCTTTATTATAAAAAATTCTGCACCACTCTAGCTCCCTACCTGGTAGCACTGTTCGCCCACGCTATCACCACTGAAAAACTACACACTGACATATTGGCGGCACATGTCGTCACTCTGCCAAAACCGGGTAAGCCTCCTACCACACCTCAAAACTTTAGACCCATTTCGCTTCTCAACACGGACGCAAAACTGTTCGCTAAAATATATGCAACCCGACTAAGCAAAATTCTGCCACATATCCACTCTGACCAAGTGGGTTTAGTAAAGGGCCATCAAGAGTCCGAGAACACCCGTAAAGTACTGAGTGTGATGCACAGCCTTAGACAGCCTGGTGTCCCTCTATGCTGAATAGGCCTTTGACCATCTGCATTGGGGGTTCCTAGAGGCAGTGCTGCTGACGTTTGGCATCCCCCGCAGATTCCTGTGTGTGGTAAGGGCCTTGTATAGCGCACCGACGGCGCATGTGCTTAATGCGGGGCTCCTGTCTAACCTCTTCAAAATAACCAACGGGACAAGGCATGGCTGCCCGCTGTCCCCACTGTTGTATGTTCTGGCCCTGGAGCCGCTGGCGCACACAATCAGAAACCACTCCTCTATCCACGGCATACAGATAGGGGGACGGAAATACAAGACAAATTTATTCGTGGATGAAATCAAAACAGAACTCACACAACACCCAATGCAACCACTCACACTTATTTCGAGACAGCTTTCTCCGCTCCCACCACCCCGAAAAAAAAAGGTGAGGGGAGCGGGAAATGGACTGACACAAAAAAAAGGAACGAAGTGGAGGGGGAGTCAGGGACGTCATAGATGATGGACGTGCAGTGGGGGGTTCTGGATAGGGTAGGTCAGCAACCGTATTGCATAACCAAGCCTCCAAACGGTATGAATCTCCACAAGGTGCACCAACAATTCCGCAAAAGCCTCATCACATGTAGCACACGAACACACTATGACAGGGTTTCCCGCAAAAGACGGCCCCAGATACGGGGCGATACGGGAATCGCGTGGAAGAACACAAGGGGACAGACGGTAGAAATATAAACCAGCAACACCCAGAAGACAGTGCCACTCAGGGTCCCAAAACAGGGGGAAAGGAAAGGTGGGCCACGAAGGCCTTGGAGTAGCTGCTATGGCCGAGAGGTATCTCAAGTGAAACCCTAGGAAAAATAAACATCAAAGTAAAATGTTGTATGTATATAACTGCTTACTGCAGGCTGAAATGTGATCACGCTAAGTTCCCTACTGCATTAGGGTCGAAAAAACTTACCCTTACCCCATTTCTCTTCTGTATCCCACTGCAATGATCTTGACTCAATAAAAGTTGTCAAATTGGAAAAAAAAAAAAGAAGCATATGTCTAGAAGGTTATGTCACTAAACACTGTATTTTGTCTGGCTGGACAAAATGTGGTGAAATGGAACAAATTTCAACTGGAATTGCAATCTCAAAATGATCCTCATATAAGTATAAGGGAGGTTTAGAAGCTGAATACAAAATAATGGTGCGCTTAGAATACATGACACAATGATTCTTCAAAAAACAAACCATACAGGTTTGATCATATAGAAACACAATAATGCAGACCATCTGATATACAGTTAAAACAATAATGTGCTTAAGAAAGTGTTTAGCTGGGGTTCCAACTCACATTTCCCAGAATCCAACCCTGGCTTTGGGTATAACTGGCTCCACTGGAGAGGAAGACATCCCACACTGTAGAAAATCTGCTACCCATTTGAACGTTTGCTCTTTAAAAGGGAGAGACCAAGGCAAAATAACCTAATGATGCAGTTTAAAATTAATTTATTTCAAGAAAAACAATGTAAAAACTGCACACTTGAAGTTTTGGTGGTTCTTCCAACTGTTTTCAAGCAAGTAATTTTTTTCGGGTTCTGGCCACCTTCGTCTCCTGGCTCCACTTCCCGATGATATGTAACGTGGCGCTTTTCGCCTGTCGTAAGAGCTTCTTTTGACGACGTCATACTCTTAAATAACAGTTTACACTATCTCATAACCACGCCTCTGCGAGTCTGAGGGAGTAGATTTTAACCAGTTCTTCATTTCAATGCTTCTGCATTGTAAGTGCTAAAGTCTATTGCTATCTGTTCATAGGTCCATCATTTAATCCTTAACCCAGGCTTCTTCAATTATAAAAAACCCAAATCTAAAGTTCTATTAGAAGGTAACTCCACATCATATTATTCATATAAAAAGACTGATAGCCTGATTCCACTTTCGTGCGGCATCCTTGCAGCCGCCACCAGCACTACACTGTCCTTTTCTACTTATGTTTGGCCACATTCGGCTGCCAAATGTTTATTTTACTTTTACTACACGTTCGCTCCTATTGCGGCTGTCACCTGCTATTTACTTTGCATTAAATTTAGTATATCTGCCCTTTGCTGGCCTGTTATGTTATTAAAAAAAAAAAAAAAAATCACATTTGCAACCAATTTGTGAGAGCGTTGTTCGGTATGTCTTTGCCTTGAGTTACGCTGTTTGCTCCGTGCGAAATACTGCATGTTGCGGTGCTCTGTGATGCAGAGCTCTGTACTGTGTTGCTCTGGAGCATGCTACATGCAGCGATGCTTTGTGTTATTGTACTCTGCTGAGTGCTGCAATGCTCTGTGCTGCTCTGCTTTGCAGCTCATTGCATGCTGCAATACTCTATTCTAATTAACTCTGATACCCTATGCTACTATGATCTGCAATGCTAGGCATGCTGCTGTGCGCTACTCTACTATACTCTGCAATATTTGCATACTGCGATACTCTATACTGCTGTACTTTGTGGCACACTGCACGCTGCAATTCTCTATACTGTCATGATTAGAGTTGAGCGGACACCTGGATGTTCGGGTCCGACGGGTTCGGGCCGAACTTAACCCCGAACCCCATTGAAGTCAATGGGGACCCGAACTTTTGGGCACAAAAATGCCTCTAAAAAAACTACTGGAAAGGGCTAGAGAGTTGCAAAATAAAGTAAAATGGTGGTAAGAGTAGGACAAGTGCCCTGCAAACAAATGTGGATAGAGAAATCACTTAAAATAACATAAAATAACATAGAATACATACAAATAAAAAAATACAGCTGAGCCATAAAATAGCACTAGATGGAATCTTTGATTTTAGCTTTGGAAGAACATAAATCAAAATCTAAAGCATGGCTGTCAGGAGGATCACCAGAATTATCCATTTGAGAGAGGGTTGGAGTGCAGGGTATTCTCTTTCATTGTTCAAACTGAGCTCAACTCCTGATGCATGAGAAAAGGCCTTCACAAGCCTCTGCTTTTGTGTACATAGTTTATACTACGTTACCCATAGTTTGAGGAACAGTGACCGTGGCGGTGTAGCTGGAAGCAGCGGTGGAGGAGGATGAGGTAGCCAACACTTTTTTTAAAAACATTTTTTATTGGGATAGCCCCCAAAATATTGGGACATATAAAAAAATAAACATTTGTGGCCTGCGGTGCATTTCTTACAGTCCTGATGCATGGAGAAATGCTCAACTCCTGATGCATGGAGAAAAGGCATTCACAAGCCTCTGCTATTGTGTACATAGTTTATACTAAGTGACCCATAGGTTGAGGAGGCGGTGACCGTGGCGGTGTAGATGGAAGCGGCGGTGGAGGAGGAGGAGGTAGCCAACACTGTTTTTTTATATATCTATTTTTTATTTTAATTGGGGTAGCCCCCAAACATATTTTGCATTTTTCACACACAAATGGCACTTACACTGACGATATAATTGTTGAGATACGTTTTACTGTTTTGAAACACTAATATGTGTTCAGCGAAGTCCCCCGAGTATAACAGTACCCCTCATGTTCTATGGTGTTTTATGATGTTTTCAAAAGTTACAGAGTCAAATATAAGGCTTTCAGTTTTTTCACATTGAAATTCGCCAGGTTGGTAATGTTACCTTTGAGACTGTACGGTAGCCCAGGAATGAAAATTACCCCCATGATGGCATACCATTTGCAATAGTAGACAACCTAAGGTATTTCAAACAGGGAATGTCTAGTCTTTTTTAGTAGCCACTTCGTCACAAACACTAGCCAAAGTTAACGTTAATATTTATTTATGTGTGAAAAATGCAAAAAACGAATTTGAACGCCAAACCCCTTCAGCTACTTACCTGAATCCAGCGCCGATGTCCCTCGGTGTTGGGTCAGACTCCGCCCACGCTCCTCCAATGGCTGTGCGTGCGCATTAGACCTCCCCATAAGAAAGCATTATTCAATGCTTTCCTATGGGGAGAACCTGACGCTAGAGGTCCGTGAGGACGTCCAGCGTCAGATTACATTTCAAAAGTCAGTTTGGATTCCGGAAGCCCTCTAGTGGCTGTCTATTAGACCACAGTCACACCTCCCTGCATGTGACTTGCACAGCCTTCCTAAACACTTCCTGTAAAGCGTCATCTAAAGTTTCTTTATTGCATGTTCTGTTTAATTTAGATTTTCTTATCCCCTGCTATGTTAATAGCTTGCTAGACCCTGCAAGAGCCTCCTGTATGTGACTAAAGTTCAATTTACATAGCAAGAGATAAAATTGTTTAAGGTAAATTACATCTGATTGAAAGTGAAACCAGTTTTTTTCATGCAGGCTGTGTCAATCATAGCCAGGGGAGGTGTGGCAAGGGCTGGATAAAAATAAACAAAGTAATTTAACTCCTTAATGGCAGAAAATTGAGCTGTAAAACCTGAGAGGCATGATCTATACACTAAAACTGCTTCATTAAGCTAAAGTTATTTTGGTGACTATAGTGTTCCCTTTAAGGTAAAGCTGACTTTGCACACTATGCAAATGCTCTTGCTGCTTCAGTCTCTCTAACACTGTGACATGTTCCCTTTCTTCTACACTCACTACATATGCTTTTTCTCTGTCCCAGACTGTATAACAGGAGCCATCTAGTAAGAAGGTTAGGAGAGAACTGGACCACTGGGTGCTAGGGGACAGTTCTTTGAAAGCGTAGAGCTAGCGCATCATTAGATGCATTTATGCCAAGCTCAGACCTGCATTCATGCGAGGCTAACCATCTAATTCTTCGTGCAAATACGCCCCCTTTTTGGGCATGTTCTTCCCTTTGAGCGGTTCTGGTTACGTGATTCACATCAGTGGCTCACCCTTTTACCCCACCCATCGAAATCCTGCTTCACCGGACACTGCTGTTAGGGGGTATGGATTTACTTGAAAGATGAAAGCAAGAGATTAGCATAGGGTATGTGTTTTCTGATCGCTATATCCTGTGAGTTTCCCTCCAGCACCACCTCCACCAGATACATGACGCTTGGGAGGTATAACTGATTTTGTGTTTTCTGTCGATAAGATTCTGTAATTAGGCCCATCATAATTGTCGGTACCAGGCCCAATGGGCTCTTAATCTGGCCCTGCTTTGTACTGCTATATTCTGCTACTTACTGCAATATTCTTTACCACTATACCAGGGGTAGGCAACCGTTGGCACTCCAGATGTTGTGGACTACATCCCCCATAATGCTTTTACATCCATAATGCTTTTACACCCATAATGCTGACAAAGCATCATGGGAGGTGTAGTCCAAAACATCTGGAGTGCTGAAGGTTGCCTATGCCTGCACTATACTCTGCAACACTAAGCATACTATTATTCTTTATACTACTATACTCTGTAACGTAATGCATAGATCCACGCTCTCCAACATCCTGAGATACTATATACTACTATGCTGTACAAAACTCTGTATACGGCACCAGGGCTGTATATACCACAAGGCTAACAAGGCATTTGCCTCAGGTGGCACTTTCCAGGGGGCTACAAAAAACGCCGCCCCCAAATGCCCAGGCTAATGCCTTGTTAGCTGCATTTTGTTAGCCTCCTTTGGGCCCCCTCCCCCTCTGGTGGCAGGCAGTCATTTTTGATCTGGGTTGGTGGCGAGGGAGCACTTTCCCCTGAGTGCTTCCTGCTCAGTCCGGCTCCCAGCATCACTTTGTGGCGCGCGAGCAAGCTGAGTAGGAAGATCACAGCATCCTCGCCGCCTACTTTGGCCGCCCGCCTGCCTGCCTACCTGCAAGCCTGCCAGCCTGCATGCCCAGCAGCCCCACTGGACCCCAGGTAAATAATCTACTCAGCTCACCCAAAAGTAGTAAGGCTGGGTGGATTTAAATTAAAAAAATATTAATAATAATTGTGAGTGTTGGGGGAAAATGTGTGTGGGTGTCTGTCAGTGAATGTGTGTGTGTGTGTTTATCTGTCAGTGTGTCTGTCATTGTGTGAGTGTGTGTGTCTGTCATTGAGTTTGTATCTGTCTGTCAGTGAATGTGTGTATATCTGTTGGTGAGTAAACTTGCAGAAGCCAGACAC